TAACCTCTATCTCCTACCAATTACCTGCCCCCCATGGCTGGGATTACAAGCATGTACCACCAAGCCTGGTTCCTCCCCCTCCCAATATTTCTTACGTACCTATGATACATCAAGGGTAGGTACTAGGCACTTTGCATATGCTAATTTATTCAAATCCTCACAAAAGCCCTGCGAGACAGGAATAACCACCCCCAATTTACAGATCAAGAATTTGAGGCTGTTAGAAGTTAATTAACTTGCATCCTTACCAAACAGCAGTCATCATGCATTGAACAAATTTTATTCAGTCCACGTCTGCCAGATTCTGAAGCCCCATGGGCTTTTCAATATAGATTGGGACGTCCCATTGGGGGCAATTACACCGCAAAGCAATCATGTTAAAGGCAGTTTTCTGTCCCTTTTCATTTCGTTTAAATTCACTGCACTACAGAAAACATACTTAGCCTGAGTCAGCACAGGGCCAAAGAAGTGATTCATGAGGAAAAACCCGACACGGGATGCTAGTTCCACTGGTGACCCTGACTATTATAAAACTGTGAAAGGAACACCATACTCCAGAACACATCCAGCAGCCTATGACTTTCCAGTGCTCTGCCACCTCACTGTGGCCTCAAGCTAAACCTTTCCTTTTCCTCCTTTGATCCAGTGTGATGGCTCAGCTTTTTTTTTTTTAATTTTTTTCTTTTATTCATATGTGCATACAATGTTTGGGTCATTTCTCCCCCCTTCCCCCTGCCCCCTCCCTTTCCCCCCACCCCCTCTCTCTTACCCCCCTATCCCCTCAATACCCGGCAGAAACTATTTTGCCCTTATTTCTAATTTTGTTGTAGAGAGAGTAGAAGCAATAATAGGAAGGAACAAGGGTTTTGCTGGTTGAGATAAGGATAGCTATACAGGGAGTTGACTCACATTGATTTCTGTGCATGTGTGTTACCTTTTAAGTTAATTCTTCTTGAACTTACCATTTCTCTAGTTCCTGGTCCCCTTCTCCTATTGGCCTCAGTTGCTTTAAAGCATCTGCATTAGTTTCTCTGTGTTGAGGGCAACAAATGCTATCTAGTTTTTTAGGTGTCTTACCTATCCTTATCCCTCCCTTGTGTGCTCTTGCTTTTATCATGTCATCAAAGTTCAATCCCCTTGTTGTATTTGCCCTTGATCTAATGTCCGCATATGAGGGAGAACATACGATTTTTGGTCTTTTGGGCCAAGCTAACCTCACTCAGGATGATGTTCTCCAATTCCATCCATTTACCAGCGAATGATAACTTTCATTCTTCTTCATGGCTGCATAAAATTCCATTGCATATAGGTACCACATTTTCTTAATCCATTTGTCAGTGCTGGGGCATCTTGGCTGTTTCCATAACTTGGCTATTGTGAATAGTGCTGCAATAAACATGGGTGTGCAGGTACCTCTGGAGTAACCTTTTGGTTACTTTTTAAGTAACCAGCTTTTTAAGTAACCAGCTTTTTAAGTAGCCTCCAAATTTTTTTCCAGAGTGGTTGTACTAGTTTACATTCCAACAGCAGTGTAAGAGGGTTCCTTTTTCCCCGCATCCTTGCCAACACCTGTTGTTGGTGGTGTTGCTGATGATGGCTATTCTAACAGGGGTGAGGTGGAATCTTAGTGTGGTTTTAATTTGCATTTCCTTTATTGCTAGACATGGTGAGCATTTTTTCATGTGTTTTTTGGCCATTTGAATGTCTTCTTTTGAGAAAGTTCTGTTTAGTTCACTTGCCCATTTCTTTATTGGTTCCTTAATTTGGGAGAATTTAGTTTTTTGAGTTCCCTATATATTCTGGTTATCAGTCCTTTGTCTGATGTATAGCTGGCAAATATTTTCTCCCACTCTGTGGGTGTTCTCTTCAGTTTAGAGACCATTTCTTTTGTTGATGGCTCGGCTTTCATGGATAGTCTGAGACAGGATTTCTGTCACTAGGATCAGCCTTGGCCTGGTAAGAGTCCCTGCCAAGGCCACCCAACATAAGCTCACAAGAAAGTCACATGAAGATTAAGAACTAGAAGGGTCAGTCTACCTTGAGCTAGCTTCTGACCATTTGGGGTTGGAAGCCCCCAAACTCGTTGGATCAGTTCATATTGCCAAATTAAGACTATTAGAATAATGAGCTTATTCTCTTCCTTATTATTTTGAAGTCAAGGGTGTTCAGAGGCTACTGTTTGCTCAAGGAGAAGGTAAACAGAGCTTGCTGGCACCTGTCACCAGTGAGCCTGTGTCCTAAGCCATTTTCAACCTGGCATAGGATATGGATCTAATAAAGAAGAAACTATTTTGTGTTTTGGATGTATTCTATCAATCCTCGAAGCAATGCTCTGAGACAGGCATTACCATAATGCCCACTCTACAGATCCCAAAACTGTGGGGTAAGTAATAGGACTGGAGTCCTAGTATGGTGAACACCGTTCCACTACCTTAAACTCACTCATTGTGGTAAGACCATTTGCTTAAGCAAATATTGGTCATTTAAAAAGGACTAAAGGCAAAATTTACACACAAGGTAGAGTTCTTTCTTTCTTTCTTTCTTTTTTTTTTTTTGAGGTTTGAAGTCAGGGCCTCATACTTGCTAGGCAAGCACCATACCACTTGAGCCACACCGCCAGCCCTTTTTTTGTGTGTGTATTAGATATTTTTGAGATAGGGTCTCATGAACTATTTGCCCAGGCTGGCTTCAAATGGTGATCCTCCTCATCTCTGCCTCCTGAGTAGCTAAGATTTCAGGCGTGAGCCGCCTGTGCCCAGCAAGATAGAGTTCTTAAGCAGCAATATTCTTTCCTCCTTCCAAACTAAGATGATAAAGTGTTTAGTGTCTTAAGTGTCTCATAATTTCCATAGCTGACAAAGATCTCAACAAGAATTGGTAGCTGAAATGTAAGATTCTTACCTTTCACAAAGGAGGTGCCAATATTTGATTCTTAAGCAAGTGGATTTCCTTGGACTCTATTTTGGTTCATTAGGCCACAGGACACCAAGGCCTGTAAACCACTGTCACTGACAACATCATCTGGTTCTCAGTCTTTTTTTTTTTTGGTGGAACTGAGATTTGAACTCAGGGCTTCACACTTACAAAGCAGGAGCTCTGCTGCTTGAGCCACACCTCCAGTCCATTTTGGTCTAGTCATTTTGGAGATGGAGTTTCGAGAACTATTTCCCTGGGATTGGCCTCAAACCACGATCTTCTAGTCTCAGCCTCCCAAGTAGCTAGAATTACAGATGTGAGCCATGGGGGCCCAGCATTCCAGCCATCTTTAAAATATGTCATAACTCATGCATGGGTTTGGATTTATGGCAGGCCCGTCCCCCTGGGTCTTTCACAGTGTCCCATACCAGAGCAAGCTGTGGCTCCAGACCATTGCCTGGCCTCTACCTGTAGGCTGCTGGCACTGAAGTGGGTTGCACAGTAGAAAAAAAGAGGAAAAAAAAAAAGAAAAAAAAATGTCTTAACTCTTTATGGTCGCAATGTAGATGGTACAAGGCAGGTCACCATTGAAACTAATATAAATTATCAAAAATCCCACTGACTGGGGTCACTTTTGTCATAATCATGAATCTTTGAGGTCAAACATCATTATTCACACAAGAATCGCTCCTGCTTCTTCATGATTTGCTAGGCTGTAGACAACTGCTCAGAACACCTTCCTGATAATATATCTCCACAGGGGGTGGACCTATCATTGCTAATCAGCTAACACTGGCAACTTAAAAAGAATATTCTAACCCCTCGAAACCTTAGCCAAGTTTGACATTTGGAATTGCTTTTTGTTGTTGTTGTTTGTTTGTCAAGAGTAGGGTTTGAACTCAGGGCCTCACACTTGCTAGGCAGGCGCTCTGCCATTTGAGCCACTCCTGGAATTGCTTTTACAGTACTAAACTCGACATATTTTGAAGTCTTTCGCATTTCATAGAAAAAAGAAAACTTTTATTTTGCCTTCCCAAATGTAGTTCTTATAAATTTTTGTTTGTTTGTTTTTAAGGGAGGGTCTTGCTCTGTAGCCCAGGCTGTCCTTAAACTCACTATCCTCCTCCCTCAGCCTCCCAAGTGCTGGGAGTACTGGTGTGCGCTACCACACCCGGCTGTAAATATTTTATTGTTGCCTCTGCCATATGGTTTAAAAAAAAAAGTTATCCAGAGCACAACCAAATATTGTTGTTTCAATAATATAGAAACCGCTTAATTTCATTACTCCCAATACCTTTTCATGTCCCTCCAAAAAGAATTTTCAAAAGGCATTTTTTGGTTGGAAGACATTCATTCACTTGCTACTGTCTAAATTAGATTGCAACATTTAAGAAAAAAGCCCTAACATATGTTAGCAGAAGTCAGAGGACAGTAGAGATTGGTAGAAAATTGGATTTTAAAGAACTCGAAATCTGGCTTAAAAGGTAGAACATGTGCTTTCACAAAGGGCTCCAAAGAGGCAGCCTGCAAGATAACTGGGCGACTAATACAGAAGGCAGAGAGACTTGGCGTCCCACAGCCCTTCTGGGACATCTCCCACCTTCACACTCCGGTTTTTGAAGCCATGATAAAAGCACAAGGATTCTCACTAAGGCCCGCTACTTTTTTTTCTGGCCTTCCTAACACCTTTCTTATTCCACCACCCTCCTTTGGATTTTGCTTCTCTGTACATAATCCGATTTTAACTACTTTTTAGGTGATTTCACCCCATCTGGAAAGCAACTTGTGTCTTCTTCCTCGTTATTTCTGAGCCCAGGGACCCAATCACTCCTCCTTTTGGAATTGGGACCTTTCTTACTGAGCTCGGCACCCCAAGTTATTGAGGGCGATCTATTTTCGGGAGCCCTCCAGTGGGCTGGCCTCCCCATGACGCCAGCCTGCTCCTCTTCCCTCCCCCCCACGCCTCATCCCCAAAGAAATCTGAACTCCGTGGCCTCTAAAACTGTGCCAGCGTCCCCAAGGTCTCCAACTGAATTCAACAATTTTCTGATCAAAGTGGGGTCAGGTTGCGGGGCGGACAGTACCTCCTTGCAGGCGTGAAGCTCCTGCCCAGTTCCCAGGGTCACCTGGAAGGCGGTCCCAGTCCAGAGCAGCAGCCACAGAAACCCGGGTGTGCGCCTCTCAGTTCTTCCCCTACCTCTGGCAGAGGGATGGAAGCTGTGACCAGGCTCAGCCATAGCGTTGTCCTGAGCGAGCGGCAGTAGCGGCTCAGGTGCTGTGACGGCTGCTTAAGCTGGCAGGAGGAGGAAAAAAAAAAAGGAGAGAGGGAGGCACCCAGGGGGAGGATGCAAGGGGCCGGACTCGCTTCAGTCACCTCCCTGCGGCTACGCCAAGGCCGCCCATCCTTCCTCCTCTCTGCGTCCTTTCCTCCTCCTATCCACGTCGCCTTGACAACCGCATCTTCTTTGGCTGCGTGCGGGTGGGGCAGGGACCACGCGCGCCTCTGCCGCTCACCTGCCGGTCTCCATGGCAGCCTCCACCCCCGGCGCGCGCGGCGTGGGAGTGCGCGCGCCCGCGTACGCCACCGGCCCAACCGGCGCGTGCGGCGCTTGCGTAAAGCAGCATGGAGCAACCTCCCCCAAAGCCATCGCCAACAAATTCACGCTTTCTCCGGTCCTGCCCGGCCAGGGGCTATTTCTGAGCATCTCTTATTTTGCAAAGGTGGCGTGGGAAGCGAGAAAAGGAAGATTTGAGACGCCATCGCGACCCTCCAGAATTCATCTTCGACAAGAGTGGCCCCAGGATTCATTACCTACTGCAAAAGTCGCTTCTGGACATCTGACTTCCATCCCGCCAAATCCATCCGTGCTTTTGCAACCGGCTCTACCGACAACCCTGACGCTTGTGTAGTTAAACGGAGCATAAGCAAGGAGACTTTGCCTTAGCCAGCAATTTCCCAAGTAGGACACGTGGGCTTTTCCATCTCTTGACATCCCCATGCTCTCATTGCTTTGGGGGGAAAAAAAAATGGGAGAAGCCCCTCCCATGCGAGGGGAGAAGGAAATTTCTGGATCATTTAGGACTTCTTTCCTCAAGTGAAGTTTTTTGCAGAAGTCGTGTACAGTGGGGGGACGGAGGACGTGTTTTTCAAATGAGGCTCAGGAGTGCTCACCTAGGACTCCCTGTCACCCTCGACGACGCTCTTTCCCTTTGCTTCTCGGCAGCATTCTCCCGAGGGGCCTTCTGAGTTGAACCGCTAGGTGGCGCAACTCTCGAAGGGACTTCATCTCGGTTTATAGATGGAGGGGCAGTTGCCTGGCAACCGAAACTGGGCGTTCCAAACAATTGGGACCCAGGCTCCTCCCGGAACAAGGTCCAGCTGCGGATGTGCTGACCCCCTCTCCCCATAAGAGCGTTGGGCTCGGCATTTAATCATGCCTCTCACTCAGGAAACTTTCCATCACCCTGCGTTAGATAAAGGCGATTCCTGCTTGGGAAAACAGCGGGGTTACAAGGTACTGAGGGTTCTTGAACAAAATTCCCACAGGCTCGCCAGCAATCTCCTTTCTGTCGGTGTGACCCCCACAAAGATGGTAACATAAAAAGCTGGTGAGGTCACTGAGTCGGGTACCAGAGAAGTCAGTTTTCTGCCTATCTCCCTGTCCCCATATTCTGGTCTCCTAACGTTTCCAAAGTGCTTTAGAGCAAAGGGAAGTGGAACTCCAGAGGAAAAAGAGTTCATCGAAGCTCAAAGCAGTGATTAGTATAATTTATGCGGACCCAGGTTCCACCAACCTGCCCTTTTCTGTTGTTTGGAAAGAAATGAGAATCTTCTGAAAGATACCAAATCATGCTTCATACATCTGTCTTCGGCTGTCTTCTGGTTAATGCCAGAATGTGTATGTGTGTGTTTAGCATGTGGCCAGTGACCTAAGAACTTAAACGCCCTTTTCTTCTGGTAGAGGAGTTTGGGATATTTGAACAGGTGCGAAATAAAGGGAATTGAATGGTAATTTGGGCTTAATAACAATATCAAAGAGCTTCCTCTTATTCAATGTTTATTTTCCATATGCCAGGCACTCTGCTAAACATTGAGAACCTCAATAGAAAGACAGAGCTTCTGCTTGCAAGGAACTCTGGTAGAAAAGAAAGACCAGGAACAGCAACAATAAAAATGCTTGCACAAAAAATGGTGATGTGACAGAGTTATATGTAGGGTGACATGAGAACCAGGAACTTGAAAGAACGCTTCCAGAGTAAAGCAGATACTTTAAAGCTACTCAGGCCAATAGGAGAAGGGGACCAGGAACTAGAGAAAAGGTTAGTTCAAGAAGAATTAACTTAGAAGGTAACACACATGTACAGGAAAGCAATGAGAGTCAACTCCCTGTATAGCTATCCTTATCTCAACTAGCAAAAACCCATTGTTCCTTCCTATTATTGCTTATATTCTCTCTTCAACAAAATTAGAGATAAGGACGAAATAGTTTCTGCCGGGTATCGAGGGGGTGGGGGGGAGGGGGATAGAACAAGGTAGACACACAGTAAATGTTGACTGGAAGAGTTGTATAGGGAGGACGACAGAGTGGTAGCTAGACCGTGATAAAGGAATGGAAGAGAAGCTGGAGTTAGAAGAGAGGAGATATGCAATGGAGCAGGTCCCTGAAGCACAGGGAAGTGTTGGGTCCAGGGAAGGTTACTCTTAAGGGAAAGGGGCTCCTCCTCCCTGTGATGAAAGGACAGTGGGTGTGAAGATGGTATTAGGTGTGTGACAGTCTTGACTTTCTCTGTGAAAGACAATCTCATCCCTGTGCTGAGAGAGGAGACAGTGAGACTCGTGCGGCTCCAAGGACAAGGGGAGAGCTGTCCAGGTCCAAGCAGGAGAGCTGAGCCTATGTGTGCATCATACATATTTCAGGTTTTCTTTCTTTTCCTTTTTACATCTCAGCACAGTGCCTGATCCTACTGTTCAATTAAGGTTTAACTGAACTGAGTCACATAGCAATCTGCTTTTGTTTTTTCGGTTTTCTTTGGTCGTACTGAGGTTTGAACTCAGGTTGCTAGTCAGGTGCTCTACCACTTGAGCTACTCTGACCTTTTTTTGTGTTGGGTATTTTCGAGATAGGGTCTTATGAACTATTTGCCCAGGCTGGCCTTGAACCACTATCTTCATGATCTCTGTCTCCCAAACAGCTAGGATTACAGGTGTGAGCCACTGGTGCCAGGCTCAATTTATCACTTTTGAATACTATGTGTTAGGTCACAGTACAAGGTACTGGAGAGACAGTGATGAACATATGGCATTTCATATGTAATGGAGAAATCAGTTTTGTGCTTGTTACATTCATGCCTGTGGGGTCTTAGAGAAATGAATGTCCAATGAACTTTTTTTTTCCCTGACATCCCTTCAGGCAATGAAGGACCCTTCCCTGCTTACTGAAATTCTTTTCCTCTCCTACTTGCATACTGTACCTTGATGTTGCCAGATTGCCTCTCCTGGGACCCTCCCTGCTCTTGGTTCTAATGGACCAGTTCTTCCCTTTGGTCAGACTCCTTTTTGAAGGGTTTAACTTTAGCTGCACGTGGACAGCCTCCTCATCTATATTACTTCTATGCTCTTCCCTCCAGCACTTCACACTTCCCATTTTCCACCTATTAATGATGGTAGAAGTCTCATCTTTTCTTCAAACTCGGATGTCTACACCTGAGCTCATCATCTTCCTACGTGCTCCTTACTGTGTCCCTCCCTGACCACCTCTTCCCATTTTCCTGACCCATTTCTGTCAGGTCTAAGAAAACCTAGGAGTCTTGCCCCCACATTGTTCTCTCTCTTTTTTTTCTTTAAATGATAGCAAAGTTTATTAGGAAAGAAAGTTAGTATAACAGGATAAAAGTAGGAAGAAATGGGGAAAAGGAGAGAAACATTTCCTGCCCCCCAGGCAGGAAGTAGAGGGAGAGACTCCACCATAGTCTTCTCTTTGCAGATGTTCCTGAGATTCAAATAGAATAGGATGGAGTAGGGGATGGATATCACTATGCTACACCAGCAGGCCCTCCTGTAACCAGGTGCCGGGTGTGGTTTCTTTCTTGCAGAAATTGCCACCCAAGAATCCAACTCACCTTGCTCAGCAGCAAGAACCCTGGTATCGGCTCAGTTCAACTCCCACGGTCACCTCCATGAGGCGGGAATCCTATTTTTTTGACTCCAAGGTATCTAGCATTCTCTTTCCATTCTCTTAGGAATCATTAATTTCATGTTGTTTTGTTTTTAGACAGGGTCTTGCTATGTAGCCAAGACTGGCCTTGAACTCGTGATCCTCCTGCCTTCGCCTCCAGAGTGCTGGTATTACAGATGTGTACCACCACATCCAGCATTAACATCCTTTTTAAAAGACAGTCTGCCCCTAACTGCTTCAGTATCTTTCCTTTTGCTCCTAATTCAAGATCTTACCAAATCCAAAAACAATTTATCAAGTCACAACACTTGGGATTTATTCCAGGCAGTTATCTGGAGCAAATCATTTTATCAGATAAGGGTTGAATATAGCCATGAGTGAGGTGAAGTTCCTAAGCCCAAGTCAGGAAGCAGCATCAACCTGCCTCCAGTGAGAGCTTACACTCTTCAGACCTAACCATAAATGACAATTCCATATTGACAAGAGATAAGAATTTATCATTGGAGGGCTGGAGGTTTGGCTCAAGTGGTAGAGCACTTGCCTAGCAATAGTGAGGCCCTGAGTTCAAACACAAGTACTGCTAGAAAGAAAGAAAGAAAAAAAAAGAAAGGAAAATGTCATCATCCTGTACAGTTCAGTGTATAAGGAGTTGGTGACTGGGAAACAGTAGAGCCCAACAGAACCTGTGTAGGGTGCAGGCACAGGTGGCCAAGTTAACCCTGAATGTGTGTGGGGGGGTACTGACTTCCCTGTAGATTCCAAAGGATGACCTGGATTTCCGCTTAGCAACCTTGTACGACCACCATACTGGGGCATTCAAGAACAAAAATGAGATACTGTTGCACCAGGAGACCACCCAGGATGCCTATGGGTAAGTGGTAGGGGCAAAGCCCCTCCTCCCAATCACATAAGGCAAATGATACCTGCAAATATCAATAGATACCAATTTGTACACATATTTCCACATTTTCATATTTATATTTGTAATGTAATTTTTTTCTTAACACTTGGTATCAAATAGGACTTGCTAGTAGGCAGGAGCTTTACTACTGAGCTACATCCCTAGCCCTAATTTCTGTATTTTTGTCTAAAACAAACAGAAATCTTCAAGGTTGTGTTCATCTGCATAAACAAACAAAACTTTTGGTAAATTTCAGAGGGTAAAAAGGGCCTCTGTTTCCTTTACTTTTTGGTGTTTTTTGTTTATTTTTTGAGACAGTGTCTTACTAGCCCAAGCTGGCCTCTTATTTGTAATCCTTCTGCCTCAGCCCCCTCTGAGTGCTGGGAATACAGATGTGTGCCACCATCCCACCTTGGGTGCTTTACTTTTGGGGTCTCATACAATTATCTTTGCTGCCTCACCTTTATCTGATTGCCTATACACCCCTCTGTTCCTCCCCATACCATCTTCTTTCTACAAGCAAAAGCCAGTTTCCTGAAGAATGTCTACCCCCTTCTCCTCTACCACCCATCACTTTCCTGCCTAACATCAGACAATGGATCAACCCTAAGAAGGAGTCCATCTATAGCATCCAGGGATCCATAGGTAATGGTTAAAGAGTGTGTGGGCAGATGGGGCGATGCAGGATTTGGATCAGGGATTACTTGGGGTCTGATAAATTGGCATCTATCAGACTAATACAGGGGACATGCTGACTATAGAGCTAGATTAATTAAAAATTTCGAGCCTCTTAGCTGAGCCTTAGGTCTAGGTAACATTTCCAGCAGAGCAGAAACCTGGGAGTGAAAGACCTAGAACTACCACCCATCAGAGCTCCAAATGCCAACTTTTCCAAATGTTATGAGAATCTTCTATAGCACCCATAAATGCATGAGTCATTTAAGGATTCCAAAAAAGGCAAAAGATCTGGAATTCACACCTCATCCCCTCTTCTTCCTCCAGTGTCTCCTCACACTGCAGCTACGAATGGAGGTTACTCCCGAAAGAATGACGGTGGTTTCTTCTCCACCTAGTGGTGACAAGCTCCTGGACTCATCATAGTGGAACATCCAACCACTCACATACATTAAATAGGTTTGTTCAAGATGAAGCCTAAAGTGTCTGTTACCCACAACTAGGAGTGCCCTCTTTACTGCTCTTAAAATACGGGAAATTTCCCATCTTCTAAAAAGTAGTCCAGTTTGGTATATTTGCAACTTGGAAAGTCATTTTGCCAAAAAGATAAGAGATTAGAACAGAATAGCACTGGTTTTGGTGGGACACAAGTATCTGTTTTATAAACTGAAGTCATTTTTTTTTTTTTGGCAGTACTGGGGCTTGAACTCAAGGCCTATACCTTGAGCCACTCCACCAGCCCTTTTTGTGTTAGGTATTTTTGAGATAGGGTCTCATGAACTATTTGTCCAGGCTGGCTTCAAACTTCGATCCTCCTGATCTCTGTCTCCTGACGTGAGCCATCTGGTGGCCACCTGAAGTGATTATTATAAGCACCATTCAAAAATCTGCTGCATGGTTGGAAGGTACCTAAAAATTCATGAGTTGACGTGATTTCAGATACAGGACTGGCAGCATGGTACAGGCATAGAGCACCTGCCTAGCAAGCAGGAAGCCCTAAGTTCAAACCCTAGTACTGATAAAAAAAAAATTCAGATACAAAAGGAGCTCCTCTAGGAACTCAGATGTAAGATCCTTAAGTCTAACTGTCTTTATCCCTTTTCACTGGGACCCTCCAATCAATTCAGATCATACCTGCTGCCAAGTGGCAATATAAATTTCAGTTCTCATTATTTAGAATGGCTGAAGGTGGCAGAAAGGAATGACTAGATAATCACCCATGCAAGTTATTTAAGATAGTGAACGTTAAAAAACTTGCTACTGTGATCCATGTATCAAAGCTTTTAAAAATATAGGTCTGGCCAGGTGCGGTGGCTCATGCCTTTAATCCTAGCTACTTGAGAGATGGAGATCAGGAAGCTCACGGTTGGAGGCCAGCCTGGGCAGTTAGCAAGACCCCCATCTCAACCAATAAAAGCTGGGCAAGGTGGTACACACCTGTCATCCCAGCTACACAGCAAAGCATAACTAAAGCAAAAAGGGCTGGAAGCATGGCTCAAGTTCAAACACAGGCCCTTAGCAAATGTATGTATGCATATATAAAATATGTATAATATAGGGCTGGAGGTATGACTCAACTGGTAGAGCACCTGCTTTGTGAGTGTAAAGCCCTGAGTTAAAAAAAAAGACTTAATATATGTATAATATATTATATATAATATATATGTGTATAATATATATTATATATGTATATATGTATTATGTAATATCTCTGCCAAGCATTTAAAAAGCTGATACAAATTCTTAAATTGTTGTGGAAAACTAAAGAGGGAATTCTTTGAAACTAATTTTACAGGCCAATATTACCCTGATACCAAAAGCCACCCCCCATCACACACACAAAGAAAAGTATAGGTCAGTATCCCTGATGAACATAAATCCAAAAACCCTCAACAAGATACTTGAAAACCTAATCCAACAGCATATTAAAAAGATTATTTACCTACAACTTATAAACTGCCCACTGGTCAAACATCAGGGTTCTTGGGCCATCTCACCAAAGCCCACAGTGCTCTTGCAGTGTTCTTTCCTGGCTTCACTTTCTCCTGCCTTCACTTTTTTCCTGCTTTCACTTTCAATAAAACTTTGCTACTGCTTTGAAAAAAAAAAGATTATTTACCATGATCAAGTGGGATGTATTTCAGGAATGAAAGGATAGTTTGACATATGAAGAAAATCAATAAACAAATAGGCATGATAATATCATCAAATATATCACATCAAAACCATCTGATCTTCTCAACAGATGCAGAAAAGGCAACTGATAAAGTTCACCATCCCTTCATGACATAAATGCTGAACAAACTAGGTGTGGAAGGAACTTATCTAAACACAATAAGGGCCACATAGAGCAAGCCTAACAAGCCCGGAGTTAAACTGCACCAGGAAAAGCTGAAAGCTTTCCTCTAAGATCTGAAAGTAGACAAGGAAGCCCACTTTCACCACTTTTATTTGGTATAGTGCTCAAAATCCTAAGCAGAGCAATCAGGTAATAGAAAGAAATAAAAAGCATCCAAAATGGAAAGGAATTCAAATTGTCATTGTGTGCAGATGACATGATCTTATAAGTAGAAACCCCAGAGATTCCACCAAAAAAATTAGAATAAAAATTCAGTGACATTGCAGGATAAAATATCAACATACAAAAATCAGCATTCCTATCACCAATAGGGAATTACCTGAAAAATCAAGAAAGCAATCCCACTTACAACAAAAGAAGTGGGGGGAAAAAAAAACCAACCCTCGGAGTAAATTTAACCCACGAAGCAAAATATCTCTACAATGAAAACTATAAAATGTTGATGAAAGAAACTGAAAAGAAGGAAGGGAGTGAGAGGGACGGGGGGGGGGGGAGACAGAGAAAGAGAGAGAGAGAGAGAGAGAAAGGAAAGACATCTTTTGTTCATGGATTGGAAGAAACAATATTGTTAAAATGTCCAAAGCAAACTTCAGATCCAATGGGATCTCTATGAAAATATCAGTTCTTCATAGAACTAGACAAAACAGGTGGAGTGGCTCAAACCTGCCTAGCAAGTGTGAGTCCTGAGTTCAAACCCCAGCACCACCACCAAAAAAAAAAAAAAAAAAAAAACCTCTCATAGAACCAGAAAAAACAATACTAGATTCTCATGGAACTAAAAAAAAAAAAAAAAAGCCAAAGCAATGTGGAATAAAAAGAACAAAGAAGGAGGAATTAATACTACCTGACTTCAAAATACACTACAAAAGCTATAGTAATCAAAACAACATGGTACTGGCATGAAAACACCAAGACCAGTGGAACAGAATTGAGAACCTAGAAGCAAACCCACACATCTGTAGCCAGCTGATCTTTTTTTTTAATTGTTTTATTATTCATATGTGCATATAAGGCTTGGGTCATTTCTCCCCCCTGCCCCCACCCCCTCAATACCCAGCAGAAACTATTTTGCCCTTATTTCTAATTTTGTTGAAGAGAGAGTATAAGCAATAATAGGAAGGAACAAGTGTTTTTGCTAGTTAAGATAAGGATAGCTATACAGGGAGTTGACTCACATTGATTTCCTGTGCATGTGTGTTACTTCTAGGTTAATTCTTTTTGATCTAAACTTTTCTCTAGTTCCTGGTCCCCTTTTCCTATTGGCCTCAGTTGCTTTTAAGGAATCTGCTTTAGTTTCTCTGTGTTAAGGGCAACAAATGCTAGCTAATTTTTTAGGTGTCACCCCTCCCTTGTGTGCTCTCGCTTTTATCATGTGCTCAAAGTCCAATCCCCTTGTTGTGCTTGCCCTTGATCTAATGTCCACATATGAGGGAGAACATACGATTTTTGGTCTTTTGGGCCAGGCTAACCTCACTCAGAATGATGTTCTCCAATTCCATCCATTTACCAGCGAGTGATAACATTTCGTTCTTCTTCATGGCTGCATAAAATTCCATTGTGTATAGATACCACATTTTCTTGATCCATTCGTCAGTGGTGGGGCATCTTGGCTGTTTCCATAACTTGGCTATTGTGAATAGTGCCGCAATAAACATGGGTGTGCAGGTACCTCTGGAGTAACCTGTGTCACAGTCTTTTGGGTATATCCCCAAGAGTGGTATTGCTGGATCAAATGGTAGATCAATATCTAGCTTTTTAAGTAGCCTCCAAATATTTTTCCAGAGTGGTTGCACTAGTTTACATTCCCACCAACAGTGTTCCTTTTTCCCCGCATCCTCGCCAGCACCTGTTGTTGGTGGTGTTGCTAATGATAGTCAACTGATCTTAATATTGAAGAAAGGACAGTCTAAACAGTGTTGGAAAAATAGGACACCCACATGCCTAACAAAGAAACAACACTCCTGTTTCTCAACATATGCAAAAATCAACTCAAAATTGGATGGATTAGAGTGCTTGCTTCTCAAGTGTGTGGTCTTGAGTTCAAGCCCCAGTACCACATAAAACAAAAACAAACAAGCAAAGACTTAAATGAAAGACCTACTAGAGGGAAACAACGGAGAAATGTTTCAGGAGATGAGAATGGGAAAGGATTTTTTAAAGATAAGACCTCTGTAAAGGCACAAGAAACAAAAGCACAGACAGACAAATGGTATTGCATCAAACTAAAAAGCTTTGACACTGCCAAGGGGGGGGAAAAATCAACAAACTAAAGAAACAACCTTCAGAATAGGAGAAAATATTTGCAAATTATGCATCTGATAAGGGTTAACATCCAGAATATGTAAGGAAATCAAATAATTCAACAGCAAAATAAAATGATTTAAAAATGGGCAGTAGCCTTAAACATGTCAACAGACATGAATGGGAAACAGGTATATGAAAGAATGTTCAATAGCATTAATCGTCAGAAAATTGTAAATCAAACCACAATGAGATATCACCTTACTCCAGTTAGAATGGTTATTTATAAAAAACACCAACAATCACAAGTACTGGTGAGGATATGGTGAATGTGAATAATTTATAAGGAATGTAGACAATTATAAGGAATGTGAATAATTTATAAGAAATGTAAATTAGTATAGCCATTATGGAAAACAGTATGCAGGTTCTTCAAAAAATTAAAGATCGCAGGGCACAGTGGCTTAGGAATATAAGCTGAAGGTCAGCCTGGGCTACATAGTGAGACCCTGTCTCAACAAAAGGAAGGAAAGGCCTGGCTGAGTGGCTCAAGTGGTAGAGTGCCTGCTGTGCAAGTTTGAGTCCTTGAGTTCAAGTCCCAGTACCACCAAAAAAAAAAAAATGGAAGAAGGGAGGAAGGGAGAAAAGGGAGGGAGGGAACAAAAGAGGGAAAGATGGGAGGGAAGATTAAAAGTACAATTACAGCCAGGCATGGTGTTATGGCGAGAGAGAGAGAGAGAGAGAGAGAGAGAGAAAGGGCTGGTGAAATGGTTCAATAGCAAGCAGGAGGCCCTGAGTTCAAACCGAAGCATGTCTACATGGTTGGTTGGGGGTGCTAAATTTTACGTAATGTGTGGTTTCAATTCATCTTGAAAAATATTATCACTTTATATGTACATTATATGTAATATTATTTCTACTTTGGTTCCTTGATATTGTAATGGAATACTTTATCAAATGTATTTGATATGCTAAAAAAAAAAAAAAAGTCTGTGGGCTCCAGCAATCCCACTACTGGGTATGTAATCAAGGAAATGAAATCAACATGTTAAAGAGACATTCTGCACTCCCATGTTCATCACAGTATTCACAATAACCAAGACACGGAATCAAGAGTTGGAAGAGTGGCTCAAGTGGTAGAGCACCTGCCTAGCAAGAGTGAAACCCCAAATTCAAACCTCAGTACTGCCAAAGGAAAAAGAAAATATGGCATATACAAAGTATGAAATATTATTCATCCAAAAAATAAGGAAGAGAGTGTAGCATCAGTGGCTCACACCTGTAATCCTCACTACCTGGGAGGCTGACATGGGTAGGATCACACTGGTTGGAGGCCAGCCTGGGCAAATAGTTTGAGTGACCTGGTCTCCAAAAATAACCAGAGCAAAAAGGACTGGAGTGTAGCTCAAGCAACAGAGTATCTGCTTTAAGTTCAAACCCCAGTCCCACCAAAATAAAACAAAACCCAAACCAAAAAACGATGATGTTGTCATTTGCAACATGGATGGAACTGGAAGACAGTAAGTGAAATAAGCACAGAAAGAGAAACACACATGATCTATTTGTAATCTAAAAAAGTTGCTCTCATAAAGGTTGATAGTAAAATAGTGATTACCAGAGTCTGGGTAGAGTAGTGAGGAATGGAGGAACCGAGAAAGGTTGGTCAGTAGTACCAAGTGACAGGAAAACTAAGTTCTGATGTTCTATTTCAATCAGGTGATTAGAGACAACAAAAATGTACCATGTATGTAAAAAAAAGAAAAGGATGCTGAATGCTTTACCACACACAAAAAAAGGATCAATATTTAAGATAGATATGTTCACCACAGATGCAAACACTTCACAATGTATAAAGGCATTGAAACATTACCTGATACCCCACACATATGTACATTTTCCTATCAAAAATGCTTAAAAAAGTCTTTAGACCTCCAGATAACTCTCAACTCACTATATGTGGGGCAAGTCGAATTAATTTTCATCCTTGTGAGCTCATGTTCTTTGAATGGGGGTACACAGACATACACAGAGCACATATACGTTATTCCTTAGCAGAGGTTGGACCGTGCTTTTAGTCTTGCGGACACCAGTGCTGGTACCACAGTCATCAAGGCAAGCCCAGCCTGGAGAATAAAAGGAAGCTTGTCACCCTCCAGCTCCAGGCGGAGCAGTGGTGGGGCTCATTCACCGTGAGCGTGGGCGCCCCCCACCCCCACCCCTTAATTTGCTCGCCACGGAGTCGGGAAGCCTGGAGGCCGGTCCCTGGGGTTGGGGCTCAGATCAGAATCGCCTCGATAATCACTGGCCCGGGACAGGCCCGGCCTCGTCTATCTGATCAATTCATCACTTCTGAGCACCGGGCCCGCAGGACCGGCTCCGGGACCTCGGGAACCGCGGCACTGCCGCCGCCCAAGGGGCCTCGCTGCACAGCGCCCGGAGACCGGGCTTCGCAGGAGGGAAGCTTTTCATTTCGGGGCGGCCCGGCGGGGCTGGGGTCACGACCCGATCAAATAAGATCAAGGTGTAGGCGGGGGAGGGGCTCAGGGGCGGGCGCACGCACTCGCCTTGCACGTCCCACGCTCGCACACACGCACGTCCACTCACACGCTCGGCCCGCACGCGCCTGCCAAGCAACACCACAGCTCAACACACACAACCCCACCCGTGGCCGCACTCTCTCCCGGGAGGGCCGGAAGTCTGCACCCTACTTTAAACCCTCGGCCCCTGGCCCGAAGTATTCTGGGAGGAACCACCGAGCACGCACCTCCCACACCTCGTGGTGAGGCAGGGCGCGCTTTGCTGCCCTCGTGTGGCCGGGAGGTCTCAAGGAAGGAGGATTGATTTTCACAATAGAGTATATATTTGGTGGATTTTTTTGGGGGGAGGAGGATGGGAGTTTGAACTCAGAGCCTCAAGCTTGCTAGGCAGGCACTTGAGTCACTCCTCCAGTCCTTAGAGTACGAACCGTGGTTCTTTTGATTGTTGTATCTATTCATCTATCTATGTTTGCATATATACAATTTACATATTTATATTCCAGTCCGAAGTGTTTTTTTGATCTTGACTTTATTAATTTAAAAATTTTAAATATCTAGTTTCTGGATATGAGATGACTCAATCTCACATTTATAGAATGACTTACTTTCCCATGATCACAGCAACTATCAAGAACATTGTCAACTTGTCCAGGAGTGCTTTCTCCCAGGGAGAAGGCAAAATTCGTATTACCAAAGGGAAGATGAAGAATAGAGTACTTTCTAGGCACCTGTGGTTCACGCCTGTAATCCCAGCTACTCAGAAGGCAGAGATCAGGAGGATCGCAGTTCAAAGCCAGCCCAAGCAAATAATTCACGAGACCCTATCTCGAAAAAAACCTTCACAAAAAATAGGGCTGGTGGAGTGGCTAAAAGTGAAGGCCCTGAGTTCAAGCCCCAGTACCAGAAAAAAACAAAAAAGTACTTAAGCCCAAGGGCTAGTCAGGATACCTGTGAAATGCATAAATATAGGAAGGCATATTCCTAGCCCACTTACAGAGGCCTCTTGCTTCCCATAACTTGATGCTGTGACAGTGACATTGCTAAACTCTGCTGTACACTCATGGCCATTAAAACAGCATGAGTGAAAAATAGTAATTATGTAATTAGAATGAATACCTTTCACATTAGAAAGCACAACTGCTCAATTCCTCACTCCTTGTTCAGGGAAATAAAGTGGTGGTAGGTGGGTAATTTCAGAATTTTAGAGATTAACAGAGAGACCTGTTGGAACCATTCCAGGAATGGGAGAAGGGGGATAAAGAATGATGGAGGGGGCGAATTTAACTAAAATATATTGTAATAACTTACATGTCACAATGTACCTCCAGTACAATAATATAATTTAAAAAATGATTTCTGGAGTTATCATTTGTACTTATGCCAGTCCCACCAGGAACCTAGAATAAACAAATAGAATTGTACCCATTGTAAGCACCAGTATCCCATTGACTCAGATTTTCTCTGTGCCTGACTGGCTAACCTGACAACCTCATTTGAATGAAAACCATCACTTGAAACTGAAGATCATCATGTTAAGCAAAATAAACCACACCCAGAAAGAAAATACTGTATGTTTTCTCTTACAAGGGGAATCTAGACTTTAAAAAAGAGCTGGTGGAGTGGCTCAAGTAGTAAAGTACCTGTGTAGCAAGCATGAGGCCATGAGTTCAAACCCCAGTACCACAAAAAAAAAAAAAAAAAGGAAAGACACAAAAGTACAAGGGTATCTATTTGGGAAGAGGGAAGGGAGCAGTGGGGTGGAGGGTGAAAGTGTAATGGGGATAGATATGACCAAAGTATATTACATATATGTTACAATGAAGCTAATTATTTTGTACAATAAAAAGTTCATCACTGATAACGGCAGATGACACTTGTATTATTTTTTTTGGTGGGACTGGGGTTTGAACTCAGGGCTTCAAGTTTGTGAAGCGGGTGCTCTACTGCTTGAGCCACACCTCCAGTCTAACACTTGTATTTAAATAGCAGCAGTTTAAACATGCTATCTACTCAATTAGACACACTTCAAAATTTGCTCATATATATGTTCAGCTCCCTCAAAGGCACAAGCTAGGCCATCATATATTCTGACAGGATCACATATTCAATGACCCTCACTCACTGGGGAATAGTAGGAACCATGGTTTTCACTACCGTGAACTAAAAAGCTATGCTTTCTAGAGTGTTTTTCATCATGTGAAAAAACAGACAAAGACAGTAGGGAAAGAAATTTTATTTTCAAGGATTTGTGCAGACAATGGAGAATAAAAAACTAATTTTGAACTATAAAAAGGCGCTGATTTCATTCCACCCTGGCATTCACAGTTTACAGGAATGCTCTCTTCAGACCTCCGACCCTAAAAGACTCCCCCAGGGTACAACATCTTACCATTTTTAGCCAAAAATATGACACATCAACCAAAGTAATGAGTTGAACAAATTTCTATTTACCTGCTTAATAAAGTTAAGAAATGAAATAGGCTGTGTATTTGCTTTTTGCTGTAAGTTACACCTTCGCTTTGTGTACTTTTTTGGTATATTCTGGTATGAAAACATCTCAAAATATAACTTGGGAGTTCAGGCCAAGATGACCCACCCAGGAAGCTGTAAAACTTGGTTTGAACTTGAACTGTAGAATGTTACAGCAGCTCTAGGCATCACCTTAGAGACATTAGCCCTCTTAGAAAACAAGTTATTAAAGCTGCAAAATAACAAGTGCAAAACATACTAAACCTGTTTCCAGGGAGTGGCAGTCTACCTGGCCAACAGGTCCCACACTCAAGGCGTTAACTCTTCTTTCCTGCACACTAGACTTCCCTTCTCTCGTGTGAAAGCTCCTCAAAAATGACAATGGAAAAAATATGAATCAATGAAGTTACCCTGAAGACCAATTTCCGAAGAGATAAGAGCCACAATTAATTCTGAGATGATTAGACATGTAGTGTTTGATGATTCCATACGTCCAGAAATTCTCAAACTTCTGAGGAGTTCATAACCTAAATTTCCTAGCAGCTTTTATCCTTTTGGAGTAAGCAGACAAAAGATTATTTGTCGTCACACAGGAGCCAACCACAGCTAATGGCCACAGTTTTACAATGAACAAGTCAACTAGAAGATCCACTTCTCTGGTTACTTATCACTCACTATAATAATTTTAGAACTACTCTTTTTTTTTTTTTTTTAAAAAGAAGTTCAAGGCTTCACAAATCCAACAGCTGATTCTCTTGCAGACATGAGGAGGATCGAGTGGAAGAAGTCTTTCCCTCAAACACTGAGTCATCTAAAATGACTTGGAGTTTCATATTCCATGGAAGAAAGACCTTCACTCTCAATTGCAAAGCTCTATTTTCTTTTACTTCAGAAAACACTCTCATTTTATTAATAGGTTCAATGAGCTGGCTGAACACACCAACAAATATCAATGACTTCTCTCATTTGAATTTTGCATGTTAACAGTAAAAAAAAAAATCCCAGAGACAAAAAAAGAATACCGCAATAATGAAGAATTAAGAATTGGCCAAGAGAAACAAGTAACCAACTAAAAGTTGCCATAGCTGGGACTTAACGAATAAATTTGTATTTTTTATAGAATGACAATACTTCCATCTATTATCACAGTAAATTCTTATACTAGATGAATTTACTAGTATATTAATTGATATACTAATTTATTTCTTCTACCATAACTGCAAATATATTAAACAATTATATCTTCAATAGTTTCTTTCCCCCCTAGCGGTGGCATTTAAAACTGAGTAACAGTATTTAGTGGTAAGTAATTTAGAAAATAGAAAAGAAACTTTAGGAAATAGCCATAGTTGATTCCTTTTTCATGTACTATTTGCTCGAGGGAAATCTTCTTTGGAGATACTGGTCTTATTACAGAGATAATTCCCAAATTTTCCATAGGTTCAGATTCTCTTGGCAAAACTCTCAAGCTACCAACACATGGCAGGCTTCATCTGTTCTCTTTTTTGCAATGAGAGCCAGGCTCTCTTAGGTTCCCAGATGGGGATATAAATGATAAATTTCTCAAGCCAAACAATTTCTTGGCCTTTTAAAATTCCTATTTCCTGCCCAGCACCCTCCATCCCCAATTTGCCAAATCCATGTCAACTAGTGAAAACATGTCAAGGCTTGAAAAAGTCTCTCTTTCCAAGAAGTCTGAACATAGCCTAAGCCCTTCACTAATGGGTCTTAGCACAAAAGATCCCGACAAGAGGGCTGAGGAACAAGATAAGTGATAGATATTTTCTTTTTGCTTTTTTAGTGCTAGTGGTTGAACCCAGGTACTTGAGCACATGCGCACTAAGCAAATGCTCTACCACTGAGCTACAACCCCAGCACAGGTGACAGGTTTTTAAGCTGGAGGTATGCAATCTTATCACCAGAAGTATAATTTATCTGGACGCCATACGCTGGCCTCCAAGGGCTGATTTACACATAGATCAAAGGAAGTTGGCTTTCTGGAGTCCCCTCAAGCATAAATAACGTTTGTGACCATGAAGAGTTTCCCACACGTATGTCAGGCACAGATGCTGTGGTGTCATCTTGGGACACAGATGATTTTAGTAGAACTCTCCTAGGCTGGGTCCAGCTTGTGACAGGATCTTCACCCCCATCCCCTTGATTGGCAGTTGATGAGCTGGAGACCTTGAAATTCATTTTATAAACAGGACGTAAAAGGCCATCACAACGCAGGCGACGGCCACAGCAGCATGCAGCCTGGTTCCAATCACAGCAGCTAGCAGAGAAGAGTAAAGAGAGAAGAAATCACAGCTGCCCTTCACAATGGCATCACCTTGCTTTCAAGGTGATTCAGAAATCTCTAGTTACAGAGAAATAGAACTACCAAGGCTAACAAAGGTCTGGGAATGTTTTTAAATACTACCTTCGTACTCTAGGCACTAGGTGAATATGACATTTGCTTTATTTCACCTTATTTTAAAAAAAAGATTTGAGTAGATAGAATTCCAGGTAAAGGTGTCCCAAATAAAAAGTAAAAATACATTTTTTTCCTCCTTGAGGTAGAGTCTCACTATGCTGCCCTGCTGGGATCGCAGAGGTCCTTGACCCGAAAGGGCTCAAGAAAGGAATGAACAAGACAGGACATACGCAAGGTCTCACTCACCCAGGAAGGGAATGACAAAACACATATCGAGAGGGCCAGCAGGCTGATGACCAACTGGCAAAGTTTTACTTTTCTCAGCAAGCTTTATACAAAAGAGGAAGAGACTTAAACATCAAAACACTCTGACCTAGTTACAACCTTTCAGTTTTTGCCATCCTGTTTTTACTGCCAGTGTCCTTGACTAAGTATAAACTTCTTTTCAGTTAAGGGAAACCATTTAGCGTTCCTTCTCACCATGATAGAGGCATGGTGCACCTGCAGATTCTGACCTTGTCAGAATGCTGCTAAGCCACAGTGACCTTGTCAGACTGGGCTTTTGGTTCCCAACATTACCCAGACTGGCTTGAACTCAAGATCACTTTGTTTCAGCCTCCCAAACAGTTTTGATTACAGGCATATGCCACCACTCCTGGCATTAGTATACTTTTATTCCAAGGAGAATATTAAAATTAACTGGAAGTAAAATAAACAATTATGCTTTAAGTTACAGCAAATTTTCAATTCACCTCTTCCCTCAGCTTTGGAAATGATTATTTCATATTATTAAGAGGTCCTTTTATAATGAAGTCCTCCATACAACGAATATATCCTAATAAAACCAATAAAAAATAAAAAAGAAATCCTTGCTAGGTCACTTAATTTGCATACTCTCAACTCCATCTCAGGGATTTTTTTTCTAAAAGTAGAGTCAAATATAACCCTAGCCCATTTACCCACTGGTTTATAGCGTAACTGTGCAGAGATGGACATCCACTATCCTTGTCCAGCCAGGACCTTACCTTTGTAAAACACACCCCACACTCCCTTCTTCTCTGAGAGCAGCCAGGTTTTGAGACGAGGTACTTTCTTGAAGTAGGCACAGGTGCAAACAAAGAGCAAACCAAACACCAGAATCCCATCCAAGGAGTACACTGTCACACAAAGAGAAAAGAAAACCTTTGTGCTGAGCTAGTTTGGGATAAGTGATCCTGCCTGAGAATTCCAAGGATAGAATATGATGGAATATCAATATGACCACCTCAACTGGCAGTGCCAACACTTGACAAGAGAGGGCCAAGGTCCTAGAACTAACAGTGTCACCTTATTTCCGCCCCACAAATTGCTTGTAGACGTCCCCTTTATAGAAACTTCACTGCTCCCTCCCCTCCCCTCCCCTTCCCAGAACTAGAAATCCTGAGCACAGTGTGCTAAACGTTTATGTGGAATCAGCCTCCCACAATGACCAGGACTGGCAATAGGTTGAGAAAGGCCTAACAGTATTTACAGCCTGAGCATGAAAAGTTAATAGACAAGAAAGCCTGGTGCCAGTGGCTCATGCCTGTAATCCTAGCTTCTCAGGAGGCAGAGATCGGGAGGATCAAAGTTTGAAGCCAGCCCGGGCAAACGGTTCTGCGAGACCCTATCTTGAAAAACACTTCACAAAAAAAATGGAGCTGGTGGACTAGCTCAAGGTGAAGGCCCTAAATTCAAGCCCCAGTACCACCAAAAAAAAAAAAAAATTAATAGATATGCTATTAGCCAAACTTGGTGGTGCACACTGTAATCCCAGCACTCAGAAGGCCAAGTGAGATCATGAGTACAAGGCCAATCTAGGCTACATAGCAAGGTCAAGGCCAGCCTAAGGCAGATAACGAGATCCTGTCTCACCTGCCTGCCCCCCAAACAATTAAACAGGTTGTTATAAGTCACTCATGATAAAGGAAAGTGCAATATTTAGCCAAGACTTGGAGATCTGCATCTGTTGGTAAAGAATATGTTAAGCCAAGAAGAAAGTTTAATGAAAATTTCAAGAGTTAGAACTCACACAACCTAATTTTCCTATACTTAGCTTACTTGATATGTGATACTCTACTTATGAACCAAGTTTCTTCCAGAAAAAGAAATTCTTCTAAGGGGGGAGGAGGGGAAGTAGCAGCAAGGCATACTAGTGCAGCATTGGGGAGGCTGAGGCAAGAGGACAAGAGTTCACAACCAACCTGGGCTATCTAGCAAGACCCTATCTCCAAATAAACAAAAACAATCTACCTGATGCTTTGACATAGTGGAAAGCTTTAAACTCTTAACTCTATTTCTTACAAATATAAAACAATTTGTTATACAGGTAACCAAAACAAATCACCTAAAGGCAAAGTTTATTGAGCAATAATTAGGCCAGAATGTTGTCTCTTTTCCTGGTTCAGATTACTTCTTTCTCTTACAGTGTGTAGTATTGTGAGACCCTTGACTGCTCAAGAAGGTCCAAGTGGATATTGTACATGAACAATGCCTGCCAGTTCTGGATACACTGTCTACCTCTTCCTCCAGTAAAACCATCCTGCAGCTAGGTCCAGTAAATTAATACACACGCTAAGTTTCTATAAGGAATGATAACTTTATGTGCTACTTTCTCCCATACGTTTTTGTAGACAATGCCAAAATTCACAAGGTGAAATTTGAGTCTTCAGCCAGGCCTATAAACAAGGTACTTACAAGAAATAGCTCTGTGTGTCCCTCAACTCACACTGCCTAACACACTGCCTGTAAGGCTGACTCTAAAGACCATAAAGGCCCTACTTTCCTGCCCTCCCCTATAATTCGGAAATCAGGTCTATAAAGTGTTTGAAGAAGCCTGGAAAATTAGGTCACATAATCAGGGTGGCAAAAGCTGTGTCTAAATGCATCCTTTGCAACACTAGTCAGGAGCTCCAGATGGGATCACCTGACTAGGACTTAAGAGTCAAACAAGAGGCTTTTCAGAATTCAAAAACAAAACAACCCCCCCACCACCAAAAAAAAACTTCTGGGGTGAGAGTGTCTACATTTACTTCTCCCCTCAAAGTGTAGCATTTGGTATACTCTGTGATTTCTTAGTCCTCTCAATAAGCCTACTGTCCAAAAAATATGAGAACATAGCGGGCTGAGAAGAGGAGCCTCTCTTCCCAATGGTTCAGCGGCACTGGTTTTATTTGCTGGGACTGAGGTTTGAACTTCAGGGCTTCTCGCTTGCAAAGCACGCTCGAGACACACCTCCAGTCAAATTTGCTCTGGTTGTTTTGGAGACGTGTCTTGCAAACTATTTGCCTGGGTTGCCCTAGAACTATGAGCCTTCCGATCTCAGCCCCCCAAGTAGCTAGGATTATAGGCATGAGCCACTGGCGCCCCGCTAAAAGCACTACTTTCATGGTAACTAGCCTCCCCAAGGGCCAGAACGAACTTCTAGGAAAGAGAAAAGAGAAAAAAGATCGGGGGGTGGTGGGGAGGGGGGTAGGAACCAAAGCCCCGAGGTGTGGTCCGAGCCGCAACGGGGAAATCTAGAAGGGCACGAGAAAGGGAACTTTCAAAGGGTACACCAGGCAGGAGTTAAGGGCGCCGACGGACTAAGGGGGGGGCCGGGCTGGGAGGGGGCGGGGAGAACGGCCACGTCAGTCCCCGTCCCGCCCGCCACGATTTCCCCTTGTCCTTTACTCTCGCCCTTCGCTCGGAGGACTGGCTCTCACCGTTCGTCATGGTAGCGGGCCCGGCCTGGGTCAGGGGTCCGGGATCAGCGGTGGAAGCGACGAAGGCGGGAGAACCCGACTCCGCTTGACACTTCCCGATCCGGGCCGCGGCTGCGCGCAGGAAGGGTAGTACGCATGCGCAAGGCTCGAAAGTCGAGCGACGACCGTAACGAGGCATTACGAGTCGATGACCGAACTTGGGGCTTTGCGTGGGCGGGGCTTTCATGAATCTGTAGTGTAATGGAGTGTGGTATGCGAGGCGTGCTTTGTGGTCAGGGCAACCGACGCTCCTCTGGTGCTGGGGCGTAACTTGACCTATCCGCGTGGGAGGTTTTTGAAAAAATAAAGGCTGGGGTTTTTGCGCTGTGGTTACTGCTGTGTGTGCTTATGTGTATATGTGATCTGCAGTCCATCTGCAACGGACAGGTTGCCGCCCTCCCGGGCTTCCTTTTAAGAAAGCCCCACACCAGGGTTCAAGAAGCAGCGCTTGCCGGGCGCTGTTGGCTCACGTCTGTAATACTAGCTACTTGGGAGATTGAGATTGGTAGGATTGCGGTTCGAGGTCAGCCCGGGCAACTAGTTCAAAGACATAATTAGAGCAAAATGGACTGGAGGTGTAACTCAAGCGATAGAGCGCCTGCTTTGCAGGGGCGAAGCCCTGACTATTCCCCACCATATCTTCTGGAGAACAAGAATTTCAGTATCAAGCGATTCCTGGTCAAAAAACAAAAGGAAAACCGTTCCATTCTCCCATAGATTCAGGAAAAAAAAAAAAAAAAAAAACTAGTAATACATTCAGGTACAACTCCAAGAGAAGACATTGGAGAAGGACCAAGCTGGGTTTCTAAAGAATTGGACATCAGATGACATGACATATACTATAGCAACTTAACATAGCAAGCTGAAAATATCACCACCATGTGGAGTAATTGGACATGTTTTATTGGGAATATGAATTATCTCTTTGTTTCTATGCTCTGCACTAGTTGTAACTGAAGCCGTTAGTTGGGGAGGGAGAGAGAGAAGCAGCAGCAGCCCCTTGGGCCTCTGGGACTGCTCTTGTGTGGCTCTTCCTTAATTCTGACGGAAATCACACTCAAGTGTGTCTGTACTTTCCAAATGAAATAAGAAACTTAACAAAAACAAGTCACACATTTGAGATCCTAAAACTATCCATTGTGGGAAACGTTCAGATAACTGACTGCTTGTTTGATTTTCCTTTTCCTTCAACTATCAGAACAGTTTTTAATTCTGTCTTGTATTTAAATCATGCCAGAGTCACTTTAGCCAAAAACCAGTGATATCTGGACAGCCCTTCTCTGAAGACATTTTGACAAGATGATGAAAGACATCATCAATCGAGTGATGGAGGACAATGGAGGAGACAAAAGTACAGATTTACTTTGTACATTGAAATCATTAATTGTACACAAGTTGGTCCAGGCAAAAGTGCTACACTGAGTCCTCAAAGGTTGAAATTGTAGTTATGAGTCCACAGTGGTTAGTTATAAAGGCCCTAAGCAATCTGGTCTCTCTGCTGCCATCTGCGGGCTGCAGATTGCTCAATTACTTAGAAGGAAAAGCTAAAAAAAAAAAAGCCCCTAGAAGATGGAGAAGAGAGGCAAGCCAAAAGGTTTGATCAGGACAGATTCCTTGAGAAAATATACTGTCAGTGCATAAACAAAAAACAAATGGAATATGGATAGGATAAACCCAAGGTAAACCAGACGCCACCCACATGCGTGCACAGACACAAAATCCTCCTGACCAAAAGAATTGTTCAAAAAAAAAATGAGACCCAGTCAGGCGCTGGTGGTTTATACCTGTAATCCTAGCTACACAGGAGGCAGAGATTAGGATTGTGGTTCAAAGCCAGCTCAGGCAAACAGTTCAAGAGAACCTATCTCGAAAATACCTAACACAAAAAAAGGTTGGTAGAGTGGCTCAAGCGGTACAGTGCCTGCTCAGCAAGCTCAAAGCCCCGAGTTCAAACTCCAATTCCACCAAGAATAAAAATAAAGGATTTTTCCAGGCATGGGTGTCTTATTCCTGTAATCCTAGTTACTCAGGAGGCAGAGATCAGTATGATCAAGGTTTGAAGCCAACCCAGGGAATTGTTCATGAGACCCTATCTCAGAAAAACCCATCACACACACAAAAAAAAAAAAGTGGCAAGAGGGCCTGCCTAGCAAGCATGAAGCTCCGAGTTCAAGCCTATAACATTGCTTTTTGTAGCTCCTTCCTAGGTTTGTTGGAGGATGAAGTAAATTACTATTTATAACAATATCTCCATATATGTTAGCTATTATCTGTTGATAATGTTCATTTATCTAATATGTCCTGGACACTTGCTAGATTTTGCAGAAATAAAAGCAAAAATAAGTCCCTGCCCTTAGAGAAGAAAATATAATGGGTAAGCTAATTGAATAAACAAATTTTAATAAAATATGTATGTAAAAACATTCTTTGAGTTTGTAAAAAATACTTGCAGAATTTTTTGGTTGTTTTTTGGTAGTACTGGGATGTAAAATCAGGACCACTTGAGCCACTCTGTCAGTCCTAGAATTTTCTCTTTGAATGAGAAAATGACAGGCTCAAAGAAGGCACATTGGTGGGATCATGTGTCTAGTTAGGATCCAAACCTAGATCTGCCTGACTTCAAAGCTCCCATCTGCTTGTTATCACACTGCCTTAAATTTCAGTGCTTCCCACTGATACTGATCTTTGATGATTTTGTTCCAAGCCTATTTCTGTCACATTGGAACGCCCCTTAGCCTCACTGCTATCCATCCCCTGCAGGCATGTCTCACATCAGGCCAAAGCCAGGGTAACTGGCTCTTGGAGCACAACAGCAAGGAATAAATAGAGTCCCACTGGGCTGGGGACTCTAAATTTACACAGTCCTTCCTGAGTTCATTTCAGCCTACACGGGAAAACTGGCAGTTGTTGCCAAACGCCTGTAAGTCAAGAACAGAGGCCTGTTTGTTAGGGCTATTGCAGTCATTGTGCTGAACACTGATCAGTCTTGGGGACCATGACTATGGCATTCTGGTTGAACCAAAGAATAAGTTCAGTCCTGAAAGCACAGCTTGCCACAATAGCTTCATTTGAATTACAACATACTTGAAAAGGGATGTCAACCAGGCATTAATTTATGCTACAAATATTTGTTCCAGGACTTCTAAGTCTAAGGAATGTGCTACCCTTTGGGGGTTGGAAGATGAAGGAGAACGAAGTTTAAGACTTAGTAGGAAAATATAAATTAGATAGGTAGATAGAAAAAAAGAAAGAAGGAAAGAATGAAACAGAAACATAGTAGAAAGTGAGAAGTGTCAAAAATGAAAATGAAGTGCTGTGGGAGTAAAAAGCAGAAACTGCTTTTAGCCAGAGCGCTCAGGGCAGGCTTCATCAAGGAGCAGGCATCTCAGCTGGGCCTGAAAAACATGTAGCATTTCAATAGGCAGAAAAGTATCTCAGTGGGGAAGGAATAATCAAAGACCTGGAGAGGGAAAGCACAAGATAACATTTGGGGCACACTACTCTCTTATTCACAGCCAAACTCCCATTGCCCGCAGGTCTCAGCTCAAACCTCAAGGAGGCTTTCTCTGACCTTCTTGGGGTCCTCTCCCTTCCAAAGCACGCAACATCTACTTAATTCATCCCCTGCTCTATCCTAAGTTTCATTTGCTTTTTTTTTTTTCATTTGCATTGTTTTTCATTTTATCCCCAGTCTTATAGTAAGTGCTGAATATTTTGCAGGTGCTTGACAAATAACTGTTGCATGAATAATTGAATGTGGACTTAAGGAACTAGAATATAAGAGTTTTTGAAGGAGGGCTGGGGGTGTAGCTCAGGGGTAAAGTGCTTGCCTAGCATGTGCAAGGACCTAGGTTCAATCCCCAGTACTGCAAAAAGGAAAAAAAAGAGTTTATGGAGAATTGCAAAAGATAGGTGTGTTTTACTTGTTTGTTTTTCTGTGCTGGGGATTAAACCCAGGGCCTTGCATGTGCTAGGCAAGCGCTCTACCACGGAGCTATACCACCAGTTCTAAAGACAGGTTCTTGAGTAAAAATAACCAACAGCTTTTGGTAGCAGCCACGTACCATAAGAGGCGCTCAAATTGCTTTTGCTGAAAAGCACATGAATTTGGCACATGAATTACCAAAAAACAGGAGAAACTTGGCATCCCTGCCTCCATCTTGTATCTGCCTTTGCTCGAAGTCATTCTCTTTACAGTCACTTTGCAATCATCTTGGATTCTGGAAAGGAACTGATAACATCTTTATGACAGGGGACTGAAACTTCTGGCAAGGAACAGTGGAGACTTGCAGGACAGAAACCCCCCCACTCCAAATAAGGGTAATTACCTACAATGATGAGGTTGCACCCTGGAGCAGTAGCAATCATCTCCTGGGAACCAGATTGCTCCCCTGCAGTGATGACAGCAAGTAACATCTTCTCCAGACCCCTCTGGGAACCCTTGGACTGAGATAATGGTCAACCAGAACATACCTATGACTGGGACTGTTTATGCATACCTTGTCCCTGCCCCCAGTTCTTTTCTCTACTTATCTTATAGCTCATGTCTGCACCCCAAAGATGGCTGAAGATGGGGTGAGTGCTTACTCTGCCTCTTCCCAGGGCATGTCCCCAGCCATGTAATAAACCTCCATTCTCTGTCTTCACCAAGACTTTTTATTTGTTTATTTTTTAATTTTTTGCGGAACTGGGGCTTAAACTCAGGGCCTACACCTTGAGCCACTCCACCAGCCCTTTTTTTGTGAAGAGTTTTTTTGAGATAGGGTCTTGCAAACTATTTGCCCAGGTGGCCTTCAAACCATTATCCTCCTGATCTCTCCCTCCTGAGTAGCTAGGATACAGGTTGGAGCCACCAGCACCCGGCACCATGCCTTTTTATTTGGACCTGGCATATGGAATCTCAGGAGTTTGGGCCTTGGGTCCAAAACTCTGGTTTTAGTACTACCAAAATCACTGCATAGGTATTAAAAAATTTAAGCCTCATGATAATATAAACTTAGCAAATATCTTGATCCCCATCTCACAGATGAAGAAATGGATGTATCAATAAGTCAAGTAAATTGTCTCCTTTCTCTCTTGCCTTTGTTCCTATTCAGTCTTTAAACTATCACCTTGGTCCTGTCATTTGTTTGTTTTTGGTAGAACTGGGGTTTGAAATCAGGATTTTGGTCCTCCAAAGCAGGTGCTATACCACTTGAGCCAACACCTCCAGTCTGTTTTGTTTTGGTTTATTTTGGAGATGAGATATCTCGAACTATTTGCCCAGGCTGGCTGCAAACCAAGATCTTCCCAATTTCAGCCTCCCAAATAGCTAGGATTATAGGTGTAAGCCATCAGGCAACTGTCTGTCCTTTATTTTCTACAGTGCTAATTTCTCCATAGAATTCTAGGTTTGTACTTCAATGAAGTGTAGAAATTAGACTCTTAAGCTCACACTAAACTAATTTCCATCTTAAATTGCTTCTCCCTTTTCTCTCCTACTTATATTACACTAGTAGCATTCCATCTGAGGTAGGCTAGATAGGCATAGAAAAAACAAACCACAATCTGCATGGGGGATGGAGGCTGATGCAATAACACAGCAGTCGTAGAGCAGGATTTCATGTGACTACTCAAAAGTAAAAAGCAAGACCATCCAAAACTGGCTGGGACCAACATAACCTACAGACACAACCACTAACTATCCTTTGCTTCCTTACAATGACATCTCCACATCATCAGCCTTGTAAAAGTGCCTGCTCCCATCATGCATCTGACACTATGACACATCTGAACATCTATATAAGGGCAAAAAAGGGGGAATAAACCCGATCCTGGGAAAATCCTGACACATTTTCTGGAATTCCTTCCCCGACATCCTCTTTACTCATGAAATAATCCCCCCCCCCATTAAAGTTTGCCTACAAGACACTAGCCAGAGCCCTAGTGATGATCTCTCTCTTGGGAAGCCTGCACTTAACCCCTGAGTGTGTGCTTTTGCCATTCAATAAAACTTCTTTCTCCCAGTTGCTTACCTGGTATCTAAATTCTTTCTCTGATGGAAACATTGGGTAGACATCTCAAACTGCTGTCTCCATCTCTAAAACTGCCCAGTCTTTACCACCAACAGCACATCCATCTGGATATAGAGTTCTCTGTCCTGTGTCTCAGATTTCACTGCCACAAAGTCCTGTGAACAATATCTTCTGAGAATCTTTCGTTTCTTTCTTTCTTTTTTTTTTTTTTTTGGTGGTACTGGGGTTTCAACTCAGGAGAGCTTCACGCTTGCTAGGCAGGTGCTCTACCACTTGAGCCACTCCACCAGTCCTGTGTTGGGTCTCGTGAACTATTTTGCCCGGGACTGTCTTCGAACCGCGACCCTCCTGATCAGCTAGGATTACAGGCGTGGACCACCGGCGCGCCGCTTCTAATGCCCTAATATGTTACACCCTATTCTGGTTCCAACCCGAAATTTTTCCCAACAAAATTTAAGTTTTCTTAGTCTAGGGATACTGTCCCGTCGAGAACTAGAAGTGAAACACAATATCCTCCCAATAATTAACACAGTACTTGGATATAAATAGTAGAACTGTAAATCGCTAAATTTGTTGACATTTTTCGCTTAAACCAAGGACCAGTGGCTGGTCATACTTTGCACAACCTCGCAGTCCCAAATCGGTGACCGAATACACAGAAGCAAATTTAGGGTGACAACGAAATACACGCCGCCTAACCCATTCCGTCTTTTCCTTTGTAATTTTTAATTCCTTCTTCAGGATTGCAGAGCCAAGAGCCCACCGCTCTTTCAGTTTTAAATTGTTTGGGTGCGGCCGTCAGGCGAACGCATCCCATTCGCGCAGGCGCAGACAAAACCCCGCCCCCTTGCATGATGTCACCGGCCTACAGACCACGCCCCCTCTTTTACTGGCTGGTTGGCCCCGCCCTGAGCGTAACCGGAAGTGACGCAGCGGATGAAGCAAAAGCCGGCTAGAAGAGAACCGACTTGGCTTTGTGGGTGGCGGGCAGTTGGGATGGCTGATGAGGAAGAAGACCCCACCGTGAGTGACCACCTCTGTCCCAGCTGTGTTCTTCACTTCCTCAGGCTCAGTAGCCGAGGCAGAGTTGAGAACTAGTTCTTTTGGGACTTGGCTGTGCTTTCCTTTTCCTTCTGGTTTTATCATTTTAGTACGTGGGGCAGGACGTGAAGGAAGAGTTGAAAGGTGGTTCTTTTATCAGTGGTTTTGGCCTGGATCTGCCAGACACCCTTTGAAATCTCTGGAGAGTCATCAGAAGTCAAAGCTAGTATTTGCTAGCACCCATGATGGCTCACGCCTGTAATCCTAGCTATTAGGGAAGCTGAGATCGGGAGGATCGAGGTTCGAGGACATCCCGGGCAAATAGTTTGCGTGACTGCATCTCCAAAATAACCCGAGCAAAATGGACTGGAAGTGTTGCTGTAGCGGCAGGCGCCTGCTTTGCAAGTGTGAAGCCCTGAGTTCAAACCCCAGTCCTATCCAAAAAAAAACCAAACAGAAAACCTTTAACTATATTTACCATGAAGGTACTGGGAAAATAATGGACTGGAAATCAGGAAGAAGGCTTACTTTTTTTTTTTTTTTTAAGCACAGTATAAGCACGTGTTAAGTAAATAATTACTTTTGCATACTGAAAGGAGTAGACTTTGATTCATTATCACCTCTGTAACAGTAACGTTGTCTAGAATGGGACAACTTAGTTGGCTGAAACAAACAAAAAACAAAGCCCAGAACCTATTGTCATTAGAACTCTTACATATAAGGCAGTAGCATTATTTGTTAGGAACATTGTAGCGATTCCTGCATGACTTGAAAATTAGAATAGATACAGATTTTAAGGCTCTTTTGTGCTAAGATTTGGTCATTCTTTGCTCTTTGCTTTAGTCTTTCTTGTGTGATAGCAATGTTGAAAATGGAAAAAAAAAGTTTTATTAGAATATTGAATGCAATGCGATTGCTTGACTTTTTTTTTCTTTCTTTTATTCATATGTGCATACAATGTTTGGGTCATATCTACCCCTTTCCCCCCCGCCCTGACTTTTCTATATATACATTTTAATTTCTAGTTTGAGGAGGAAAATGAAGAAATTGGAGGAGGTGCAGAAGGTGGACAGGGTAAAAGAAAAAGACTTTTTTCTAAAGAATGTAAGTTGTACTTGACAGTGATTTTATTACAGATGTTGAAAACTTTCGGTCATATCTTTTCAAAGTTGTTTTATTGTTTTGAATGTGTTTCCTTGTAGGGACAGTATTCTCAGACTTGCCTATGAAATGCTTTAACTTTTTAATCATATGATAGTAATTCTCTCTCTCTCTCTCTCTCTCTCTCTCTATATATATATATATATAATATATATATATACATACAAACATATACATACATACATGTATATTATATACACACGCACATATATATATATATATATATATATATATATATACACACACACACACACATATGATGAAATGTAATGAGTGTTTATTTCAGGACAGAATATACCTCCCTTAGTTTTCATGTGCCTTACCTTGGCAAAGTAGAAGCAGGGGGTACTCCTTTGGCTGTAAACCACAGGTAGTGGTAGATCCTGGAACAGGTGCTGAGGATGGGAACTAAATTGTATCTTTGGACTAAGACAGTGAAAAGGCAGGAAGGCATTACAGTGGCATAAAGATTGCAGTGTATTGGTTGTCCGTCCTACACCCACAGTAGACAGATTTGACCCTTTCTGGCATGAGCAAGAAGAAGGGAGATCTGCTCCCCAACCCTTGAAAGGCACCATGAGAATGTGCTCTTCATCTCCAAGTCCCGGGCCCTTGACAAATAGTTATGACTGAGTATTGAGAGATGCATACATTGAGAACTGTGTGAATACCTGATTTGTTTAGGCTGGGTCAGACATGAACAGTTGTTCCTAAATACTCTCAAAACTGCAGGGTCAGTACTGTTACAGGGGTTTGAACTCAGGGCCTTGTGCTTACTAGGCAAGTGCTCTACCACTTAAATTACATTTCCAGTCCCCTTTTCTATATCTTAATTTCTAACTTGAAGCTGACCACTAATCAAGCTAATTACTTGATTTGTATGTGGTTCTATTTCTTATTACATATGTTTCTAAAGGAGATTGCCCATACCAGAACATTCCAGAGGGATGCTTGCATAGTTCATCGTTAACAAATATTTTTAGTTCTACTTGAATTACTTAATCTTTGTGAGGAAAAGAATTTAGATGTTCACAGTGTTTTTGTCTTATTAGAATCATTCCCTGCATGCCCCCCCACCCACCCCTCACCCCCTATGTAGCCCAGGCTGCCCTTGAAAACTCACTGTCCTGCTTCAGACTCAGTGTTCAGGCTGAGCAAAATCTTCATATATCTTACTGTCAGGATCTGGTCTAAATCTTTTTTTTTTTTTTTTTTTGGTGGGACTAGAGTTTGAACTCAGGGCTTTGTGCTTGCAAAGCAGGTGCTCTACTACTTGAGCCACACCTCCAGTCTAAAAGGAATTTTTTTGGTTGGTATAACACAGTTTCAAAGCATTCACTAGCGTTTGTTTATACCTTTAACTAAACACAGGTTACTTCCTATATAACATTTATCTATTTTCCAGTGAATTGTATTTTCCTACTGGTGAATTCTACCCATCAAAATATTAGTGACAAAGTATCTTCCTCAAAATATTTAAGGAGAAAGGCCAGGTACTGGTGACTCACACTTGTAATCCTGCTACGCAGTAGGTAGAGATCAGAGGATTGCAGTTGGAGACCAGTGTGAACTGCAACAAAAGTGAGCCCCTATCTTGAAAATATCTAACACAAAAAAGGATTGATGGAGGAGCTCAAGTGATGGAGGACCTGCCTAGCAAGCGTGAGGCCCCGAGTTCGAGCCCAACTACCACCAAAAAAATATATACATATACGTACATATATATTTCGTATGTATATATATGTGAAAAGCAGTAAACTTAGAGTGAAAAATGATCACTCTTAGTTTTTTCAAATTACTTTAGCGAAGTGAACAAAGTTAGCATCACAATAATATGTATTGATATCATGTACCCCTGATACAAAGGCACATCACCTCACCTCTTGGTATCCTTTCTAATAATGTATAACTTCAGTCTAATCATGAGAAAACATCAAACAAAGCCAAACCGAGGAACAGTCTATACAATTGACCACTGTTCTTCAAAAGTGTTAAGGTCTTGGGCTGGGCACTGGTGGCTACTCAGGAAGCAGAGATCAAAAGGATGGAGGTTTGAATCCAGCCTGGGCAAGTAGTTTGCAAGACCCTATCTTGAAAAAACCCGTCACAAAAAAGGGCTGGTGGAGTGGCTCAAGGTGTAGACTCTGAGTTCAAACCCTAGTACCGGAAAAAAAAAAAGTGTTAAGGTCTTGAAAGACAGGGAAAGACCGAGGAATTGTCACAGATTGGATGGAGAAAACTAAGGAGGCCTGACAGCTAAGTAAGTGGAATCCTTGATAGGAACCTGGAACAGAGGTTTGAGATGTAATTCAAACAGCACTTACCTAATTTGTGAAGCTCCTGCATTTGATCTCCAGCACTGGAAAAATAAATAAAATCTGTAATCTGGAACAAAAAAAGGATATTTGTGGAAACCTTGAATAAGGTCTATGCTTACACCAGTGTTAATTGTTTTGATAAATATCCAGGTTATATGAGATGTTATCATAAGGGAAAGCTAAATTTAAGGTATATGGGAGTTCTGTGCTATTTTGCAACTCATTTATAAGTCTAAAATTCTTTTTTTGAGACAGGGTTTCTCACTCATAATCCTCCTGCTTCAGGCTCTAGAGTGCTGAGATTGCAGGCATGTACCACCATGCTTGCCTTTAAAAAAATTTTTTTTGGCAGTACTGGGGTTTAACTAGGGGGCCTCATGCTTGCTAGGCACTTTACCACTCCACCAGCCCAAAATTTATCTTAAAAAAAAAAAAAAAAAAAAAAGCCAGACATGGTAGCTCATGCCTATAATTCTAGTTACTTGGGAGGCAGGGATTGGGAAGATTGAGATTCTAGGCCAGCCTGGGCAAAAAGTTAGGGAGATCTCACCTCAACAAACACACATAAAGCATAGTGTGATGGTGTATGGCTATGGTCCTAGCTATGAGGGAGGCATAAGTAGGAGGATTGCCCCAGGCAAAAAGCTTGAGACTATTAAAATAATAACCAAAGTAAAATAGGGGTCGGGCCAGGATTCAAGTATAGAGTGCCTTCCTCATAAGCGTGAGGTAGCAAGTTCAAAACCCAGTGATGACCTCCCTGCAAAAAATCTACATACCCCTTTGAGAATTTGATAAAAGTTATAATTCTTCCCAGAAGAATGCACATATGCAGATAATTATGACTTTTTTCTATGTAACTGCAAGGGAGATTAAGGACTTCTTGACACTTGTCTGTGGACTTATGGGGATATACGTTAAGACTATATGTTGAGAATTTCTATGCAGAACCTGAGGTATGGATCAAGTGGTAGAGCACCTGCTTTGTGAAGCCGTGAGTTCACTCTAAGCTAGAAAGAAGTATAATACTGTTTTGCGCCAGAGACTCTGGTTCAAATTCAGGCTTCATCTCTTACTAGCTGTGTGACCTTGGGTAAATCACTTAAATCAGCACCTCAGTTTTTATCTATAAAATACGAATAAGAAACAATAGTATCTACTTCAAAGGATTGTTGTGAAGATTAAATGAGTTATATATGTAAAACAGTACCTTTTTATATAGTAAGGGCTATATAAGTTTTAGCTATTTGCAGTTATTTTTATTACTCTACATTAGACTTTTCTTCTCTTTTACATATTCAATGGTTTCTTCAAATGAAGCCTGAAAGGTTTTGCTGGCAGTTGTATTGATCTAGGAAACGAAATGTCAAGATTCTTTGTAAGTCCTCTGTGTTCTTCTTTTAATTATCCTATATGGAGCACTTTCTCTCATGTCCTTTCCCCTAGGGTAAAGTGGGAGAAAATTTTTCAGCCTTCTCTTTTCCAGTGCTCTAGTGTCACCCTACACACAGAAACTACTCCAGAAAAGGCTAAGCCATTGCTAGCATTGTCCCTCCCATAAAATCTCCTACTTAAATGGTTACGGATAAGAAAATGTTAGCGATTAGGAAAAGAATGTTCATATTAGGGTTTAGTAGCTGGGAGGGGAGTTTTGTTGGAGGTTAGATGATAAGACTGGTCATAAGACTGTGGTAAACCTTTTACACCAAAATCCATACTTTGAGACACAGATACAACGTAAATACCGTTTGTAAATACATTTTTAAACCAGTATCATCTTCACTTGGCTAATCAGTTCCAGTTGATGTGGAAAAAGTATTGGTAAAATTGTGACTATGTTCAGGTAAACAAAAGTGATTGCTTTTACAGTACGGTGTATGATGTACGGATTTGGGGATGACCAGAACCCTTACACTGAGTCAGTGGATATTCTTGAAGACCTTGTTATAGAATTCATCACTGAAATGGTAAGATTCTGGTGGTTAGAAAACTAGTCTTTATTATTACTGTTTTTGCTTTTTTTTTTGTAACTTGTTTTAGTTAGTTGAAAAACAGATTTGAAATTGTAAGATTAACACCTAGGGCATCCTTTTGAAGTAAACTATCCATTTGAGTGCTTTTTTGTGGAATTTAATTGGTTTCTGTTTATCATTAAGGATGGAGATTATGTAAATATATTCTACCCTTCCTCTTGTATTTTATTTATAAAGACATAAAATAAGAAACATTTCCCATAACCTCATTATCCAACATAAATTTGATTTTTTTCCCTTCCAATATTTATTTAAAGGTATATACAGTTCATATCCAGGAGCCTACTCCAAATAAAAAGCAAGAAAAAATTTAAATTAAGATATATAATGTCTTACATAGTAGTGATCATGGTAACATTCTTTTTTTCTAAGTTCTATGGTAGATAGTTCTTGTGATCTAATCGTAATTATTTCAGTAGTTACATAAAATTCAAATTGTTTTCTAACATACTTAACTATTTCCTTATTGTATAAGTCATTTACAGGTGGTTTTATTTTTAGATTAATTTTTTTTCACAGTACTGTGGTTTGTAACTCAGTGCCTTCTGCCTTCTAGGCGTTCTACCACTTAAGGCACACCTCCAGCCCACAGTGGTTCTATTTTGTGGTGCTGGAGATCAAATCCAGTGCCTCAAGAATGCTAAACATCCCCTGGAAGACCTTCATGATAAAAATTCCTGTCCTGTCTCACAATGACATTTTAAATACCCAATAAAGTATTATAATTTAAGAAAAGAAAAAGAAAGAGAGAGAAGGAAGAAAGAGAGGGAGGGGGAAGAAAAGGAAAAGAAAAGAAAGAAAAAAGAATGCTATGCAGGTTTGTCTACCATTGAGCTACAAACCCAACCCTGAGTCTAAAATCTTGAATGGCCATATTCCTGGATTTTTCCCCCTTCTTTCCTGGAATACATTCACAGGAAAGGGATTACTGAGTTTGGTTGTGGTTAGGTATTGTGAATTTTGACCCTTTGTTTTGGATTGTTTCTTTATGATGAGCTACAAGAGCTGTGGGTTTAGCTACATGGTACAGCACTTGCCTAACATGTACAAGGCCCTAGGTTCAATCCCCAACACTACACAAAAAAAAGTATGCACTTTTACAAATCTTTTTTGGGCTGGAGGTATGACTTAAGTGGTAGAGCACTTGCCTAGCAAGCATGAGGCCTGGGGTTCAAACCTCAGTATTTGAACCAGACCAAAACAATTTCTTTTTTTTTTTTTTTTGGTGGCACTGGGGCTATGAATTCAGGGCTTCATGCTTGCTAGGCTTGCTAGTCAGTCACTCTACCACTTGAGCCACTCCACCAGTCCTGTTTTGTATTGTTTGTTTTTTTGTTTTCTTTTTTCCCTGAGATAGGGTCTCATGAACTGTTTGCCTTAGGTTGGCTTTGAACTGCGATCCTCCTGATCTTTGCCTCTGGAGTAGCTAGGATTATAGGCATGAGCCACCGGCGCCCAGCAACAAAACAATTTCTGTCTATAAAAGTAAGGGTTAAGAGTGTAGCTCAGTGGTAGAGCATCCTCCTAGCATTCTGAGGCCCTAGGTTTTGATCCCAGCTACTCCAGAGGAAGAGGCAGGAGAATGGCAAATTCGAAGCTAGTCCAAGCAAAGTTAAATAATAGCAAGATTATCTCAAAAACAAAAGGTTCTGGGGGGCAAAGCTCAAATGATAGAGCACTTGTGTGCCCCAATCAATCAATCAATCAAATTAATATCAATTAAATACAATTTAGAATGTATGAAAAAGCACAGGGAAGATAATAAAGTCTATAATTCTTCCACCTAGAAACAACTAACATTTTGCTGAGCATTACTTTATCTTTTTTTTTTTTTTTTGCAGTACTGGGGTTTGAACTCAGGGGTCACACTTGCTAGACATCTATTCTACCACTTGGGCTGTTCCCCCAGCCCTTTTTAGTGTTGGGTATTTTCAAGATAGTATCTCGAGAACAATTTGCTCAGACTGTCCTTGAACCTCAATTCTCCTGATTCTGCCTCCTGAATAGCTAGGATTACAGGTATGAGCCTCCAGCACCCTGAGCTTATTTTGTCTTTTTATACATATTTTAAAGGTTTTTATAAAATTGGAATTGTTTGGTATTTATAATCTTAGAACTTGCTTTTCTGATAGGTAAGCTAGAATACTTCACCCATGTCACTGTATAATATTCTATAACATTGTAATTGCTTTATGATGTTAACTGAATGGATGCACTCAAGTTTGTTTACTTAATGTTAAATATTTCTGTATTTTTTGGTGGGACTAGGGTTTGAACTCCAGGCTTTGTGCTTGCAAAGCTGGTGCTGTACCACTTGAGCCACACTTTCTGTTCAATATTTCTGTTTTCATTATGTTAAACCTTTGCTTTTGTACAAAATGAGTACATAATGACATACATAATAATAATGAGTACATAATGATAAAATTTATTTATTTGATTCTAAGAAAACCGACAAATATTTACTAGCTATTGAGATGGAAGAGGACTCAAAGCATAAATGAAATGGGTCGTTACAAAGAAATTAAAAATTACTTTATACAAATGAAGCCAAAAGCTAAATATATTGGTTTGGGGGTATAATTCAGTGGTAGAGCATGTCCTTAGTATGTTGGCACATGCCTGTAATCCTAGCACTTTAACACTCAGGAAGCAAAGGCAGGAGGATCCTGAGTATGAGGCCAGTGTGGGATATATAATGGGACTCAGTCTTAAAAGACACAAATAAATATCAAAAAACAAAGTGGGTATGGTGACTCTGCCTATAATCCCAGCTCTCAGAAGGCTGAGGAGGGAGGATTATGAATTCAAGGCTAGCCTAGTCTATATAGTGAGAGCCTGTCTCAAAAAAAATTTTTTTTTAATGAATATCAGTAAATTTGATGGTTTTAATGCCCTTAACATTTTCTTTATTTATTTTGGCACTGGAGTTTGAACTCAGGGTCTCATGCTTGCTAGTCAGGCACTCTACCACTTGAGCCACTAGACCAGACCTGTTTTTTGTGTTGGGTATTTTTGAGATAAGGTCTCACAAACCATGTGCCTAGGGCTGGCTTTGAACCTCAATCCTCCTGATCTCTGCCTCCCAAATAGCTAGGATTACAGGTATGAGCTACCATGCCCAGTCATAAAATGCTGAATTTTTAAAAATCAAATTTAATATGTTTCTTTGTAATAGACTCACAAGGCAATGTCAATTGGAAGACAAGGTCGAGTGCAAGTGGAAGATATTGTCTTCTTGATTCGAAAAGATCCAAGGAAGTTTGCTAGGGTTAAAGACTTACTTACCATGAATGAAGAATTGAAACGAGCTAGAAAAGCATTTGACGAAGCAAATTATGGATCTTGACACCTTTTGTACTTTCTGAACATTTACTGTCTTCTGTGGAAACCATATATGATAACTGTGTTTTCTGCGGTGATATCCCACTGTCTAGGCATGTAAATGAAAGATGGAGAAGCACGACCTTTCAGCCTTTATGTTTTCAATTTTACAGTAATATTTGAGCCTTTAACTGCCTGCCTTCATACAACCATACTTGAATCACTTGTTGGCTTTTAATGACTACATTCAAGTTAAAGTGTTGCAAACCATGTAGTTCCTTCTGACTTTTCACCTAGCTAAAGGATAATGTAGTATTTATGTGTGGGTAGATTTGTGCCATTATAAGCTATGCTGTAGCTTTTAATATGTGAGATCTAAATGTCCTTTTGACTGACAGCTAAGACTTGCATTTCATGCATTCTGAAGTTTTTAGACAATAGTGGTCTGAGAGGTTTGTGAAGATAGTGAAGTGGTTTGTGTTTATTTTAAGGAGATGGCACAGGAAACTACAAGTTTCTGCAAGAACGTTTATCTGTCTTCATTTGTTTTAATATTATTTTCTAAAGATAGGGTTTTTTGTTTGTCTGAGAAACTAAAAGTTTGATATCAGTGCTTCTGTGTTGAAAGACTTGATTTACTATCAGTTAAGTTTTCGAAGACCTCATTTTCCCAGATCAGAGCTTCTAAAAATAAATGCTTTCAATGGCAGAAATGGCGGTGCTTAAAAAGCTGATGGCAGGGTGAGTAGCTGGGGTGGTGTTTATTAACATATTTGTAAGTACCAGTTCATTGTGGAAGTGTGTGCTTGATTAAAACCAGATGTGGGTGCAAGCAAGATTTGTGTATTAGTTTAAGCATTAAATTATTGTTGTACTAGTTTAAACTAAGGATCAAAATTGCATTTAAAGAGATCACTGAATGTTACTCTTTCGAAACTGAACTTTTTGTGTCACTTATAAACATTATTTATAAATCAGTACTTGGGAAAATTTTACTTTCTTAATTGATTTTATGTTCTTAATTGATATAAGGAATTATTATGTTCTTAATTGATATAAGGAATAAAATACAAAAAGTTAAATAGATTGAATTTGTCTGTGATTTGTAGCTTTTCCCCAGGATGTTCCATTACTGGTAGTATGGTAATTCTAGCTGCTTAATCTTTCTTTTTTTTTTAAATATGGAATGCTTCACGAATTTGCATGTCATCCTTGCACAGGGACCATGCTAATCTTCTCTGTATCATTTCAATTTTAGTGTATGTGCTGCTGAATTGAGCTCAGGCTGCTTAATCTTGCTAAAAACTTTTCTATCTTGTAAAATAGAAAACTTGATGCATTCCTGGGTTGCTCCTTTTGTTTAAAAAAAATAAACACCAGTGAAAAACTACTCCAGTCCAAGCTAAAATCAAGATTGGGAATGGGATAATAAAAAGTCACTGGTTTTGTTAATCATAACCTGCTCCACTCTTAAGACGGAACTGGTAGTAACCAGCACAAAGAATGTTAAACTGGCAGCCATTATTCAAAGTCTACTTACCTTGTGCAGAGAGGTACTCTATTTACACTGACTTGAATCATGTCTCTCAGTCATTTTGAGTGTCTTACTCTATTCTGCTTATAAGAACTTTTTCATGGGACTTTGCCCCTTTTTTTCTTTTTTTCATGGGACTTTGTATTAAGACTTTTTAAGTTGCAAGTGATACAAGGTAAAACTAGCATAAGCAATAAAGGAATTTATTGGCTTGCCTCAGCTGAAACATGGGGAAGAAGGAATGGAGCTGATTTAAGGAGAATCAAGACTGTCTCTCCATTTTTATCCTAATTTTGGTTTTATTCTAGGGTGTCCTAGTAACATGACCATCAGTTTTAGGTTCCATCCTTACCCTTCACATTGAGGGAGCCGTTGCACTTCCTAATACAAAAAATTCCACATAAGGGTTATGATTGTCTTGGCTCTGATCATTTTCTTGGATCAGTCACTGACCTGGAAGCTGTACTATACCCTGGACTTCAAGCCTCACCTCTTGGAGAAGTGCCTAGAGTGGGCATGGGCGCTAGATCTTTCTTTTAGCACAAACAGGAAAGGCAGGCTGGACAGACAAAAATAACAGCTAGGCACTGACTTGATTCATGAGCTCTTTTTTTGTTTTTGCTGTACTAGGGTTTGAACTCAGTGCCTACACCTTCATCCATTCCATCAGCTCTTTTTTGTAAGGGTTTTTTCGAGATAGGGTCTCACAAACTATGCCTGGGTTGGCTTCTAACTGTGATCTTCCTGATCTCTGCCTCCTGAGTAGCTAGGATTACAGGCATGAGCCACTGACACCAGCCATGAGCTCATTTTTGAGTTCTGATAGTAAGGCAGCAAGGCTGTCTTCCAGTTTTTAGAGCTGCATTGTGTAATATGGTAGATGCTAGCCACCTACAGCTATTTAAATCTAATTAAAATTAAAAATTCAGTTTCTCAGTTGCACTGTCACAAAAACATTTTTTTCATGGTATGTGGGTTTGCTTACAAGGCAGTGGCTCTAAGATTTGAGTCATACCTCCAGCCTCAGAAAAATATGGAACACTTCATGATTAAAACTGGGGGTTCATTATGCTATTCTGTGTATGCTTGATATTTTCCATAGTAAAAAAATTTTTAAGTGAATGAACATAGAAGAGTGCACCTGTGCACTCTGGATCAGCACTGTCCTAAAGAATTTTCTGGCAGGGCACTGGTGGCTCATGCCTATAATCCTAGCTACTTAGGATGCTGAGATTGGAAGAATCATGGCTTGAGGCCAACCTAGGCAAAAAGTTCAACCTGGGCAAATAACCAGAGCAAACGGACTGGAGGTGTAACTCAAGTGGTAGAACACCTGCTTTGCAAGCTCGAAGCCCTGAGTCCAAATCCCAGTGCTACCAAAAAAAAAAAATTATTGAAGTATTTATAGATGAAATATTACATCTGAAGGAGGGAGAAATGACCCATACATTGTATGCACATATGAATAAAAGAAAAAAAATTTTAAAAATAAATAATACATCTGGAATTTTTTAATTGCCTGGGGTTGGCCTTGAACCTTGATCCTCCCAAACTCAGCCTCTCATGTGGCTAGGATTTCAGTTGTGAGCCACTGGCACCTGGCTGCCAATATGTGTTTACAACAAAAAAAATTTCAAAAAGTAACTGAACCCAAATACTATTATCATACCCTATCAAAAATTAACACTTGCATGGCCCCAGCATTAAGGGAGACACACAAATTTATGAAACGTTTCATATTTTTCATCTCCAAGTCAGTGAACAGTTTTGGGATTCCCTCATGTACCCATGAGGGAAAACTTTCTTGGCAAAGATTAGGAGGATCTCAGTTGGAAACCAGCCCCAGGCGAATAGTTCTCTATCTCAGAAATAGCCAACACACACAAAAGACCGGGAGTGTGGCTCAAGTGAAAACATAAATTTATTATTTTACAGTTCTGTAAGTCAGAAGTATGACTCTGGCCTCATGGAACTAAAATCAAGGTGCTAACAGGGTTGTGGGTCTTTCTGAATGTTCTAGGAGAAAATCTGTTTACATGCCTTTTCCAGTTTCTGGAGGCTTCATTTCTTGCCTCATGGTCCCCTTCTTTGTTTTGTTTACTTTTTGGATGGGACTGGAGTTTGAACACAAGGCTTCAAGCTTGCAAAGCAGGAGCTCTAACACTTGACCCACAACTCCAGTCCATTTTGCTCTGGTTATTTTGGAGATGGGTGTCTCTTGAACTATTTGCCTGGGCTGGCCTTGAAACTTGATCCTCCTACTTTCAGCCTCTCAAGTAACTAGTATTACTAACGTATTACAGGTGTGACTCAACAGCATGTGTTCCTCTTCTTTGGTCCTTAAAGCTCTCAGTGTTGCATCTCTAACCCTTCTGTGGTCCTGTGTCCGTCTGAAACCAGCTGGGAAGGATTTTCTGTGATTACATTGGACCCACCTGGACCTCTTACTATAGTCTCCTCATTTCAGCATCCTTAACCATACCAGCAAAGCATGGTTTACCACCCTAGTAACATATGCATAGGTTCTGGGTATTTGGACATGGAAGTCTTGAGGGGCTATTTTGCCTACATCAAACAGGATATAAACAAGGTATTACTCATTGCATTTGTTTTGTATGTCTACATTTCTTTTTTTCCTTTTTTGCAGTACTGGGGTCTGAACTCAGGGCCTACACTTTGTGCCACACTACCAGCCGTTTTTTTGTGATGGGTTTTTCCAAGATAGGCTCTGCAGAACTATTTGGCAGGCTAGCTTCCAATCATGATCCTCCTGAGTAGATAGGATTACAGGTGTGAGTTACTGGCACCTTCATAATAATTCCTCCCCAGTTTAAGTGAAGCTTTCTCTTTTAGAAATTTTAGGCCATTTATTTCTTAGTATGTTTAATTAGATACTCAAGCAGAGAGTCTAACATATATCTATGATTGCACTTGAAATTGTTGGTTTACCTGTATTTAAACTGGTGTTCTTGTATGAAAACTATAATATTAATTCTAAGTATAGAGTTTTGTTTTCTTTTGTTTTCTGTACTAGAGATTGAATCCAAAATGTTTTTTTGTTTTGTTTTGTTTTGTTTTTTCCGTGGTACTGGGGTTTGAACTCAGAGCCTCACACTTGCTAGGCAGGCACTCCACCAGTTGATCCACCTCACCAGCCCTTTATATGTTGGTTATTTTTGAGATAGGGTTTCACAAACTATTTGCCCAGTCTGGCTTTGAACTGCAGTCCTCCTGGTCTCTGTCTCCCTAGTAGCTAGGATTACAGGTGTGAGCCACCAGTGCACAGCCTGAAACCAGAGTCTTGCACATGCATGTTTTCTACCACTTGAACCATACCCCAGCCCTTTTGTTTGTTTTTTCTTCTGAGATAGGGTTTTATGAACTTTGCTTGGTCTGGGCTCAAACTTGTAATCCTCCTGCCTCAACCTCCCGAGAAGCTGGGACTACGAGTGTGCACCATCATGCATGGTGTAAGTGTACAAATTTTAAAATGAGGGAAATAGCTTGCTTATCCTCTCATCAGTGGAGAAGGGTGTTGCCTGGGAAGTCATCTGGCCATTTTCCAACAGGCCTTAGGCAGTTGTGTTATGTGAATGAATGTACTATAGCTCAGAGTTTGATTTGCAGCATTGCCGACTGAGAAACTGATTTCATCAGCAAATGGACAGCACGTCCATCTCCCAGAGAAGACTCAGAGAAACCCAGCTCCTAAACAGTATAAGGACATAGATACCAATTTACAAATATCAGTAAAACTTGGACCGGTATGACAAGCACCTACTTCCTTTCTCTAGGCAGACAATGAAGGAAACTGAAGCAGCACGATGAGGGTGAATCATGAGGGGAATGACATGAACGCGTCATGTAGCATGTCAGGGAAGATAGGATAGAATTAACACAGAAACGGAAAAAATGGCTCACAAGGCTGAGCAATGAAGTTGTGTGAATTGCCTGGAGAGCCACCTTCTGGGTTGTCTTGGACTGACAATGGTAACTTGGCTTGAGTTTTCACTTTCATGGAGCAAGAGCCACCCAGGCATTGTTTGTCACTTTAAGGTGACTTTAAGTATCTAATTCATTTAAATGTTAACTCAGAAGTTATTCAGAAGGGGCACTTTTCCTTTCTACTTTTTTTTTTTTTTTGCAGCACTGGAGTTTGAACTCAGGGCCTTACACTTGCTTGGTAGACACTCCTCCAGCTCTTTTTGTTTTGATACAGGGTCTCTCTCTGTAGCCCAGTCTGGCTCAAACTTGAAGTCCTCCTGTCTCAGGCTCCAGAGTGCTAGGATTATAGGAATTTGCTACCATGCCCGGCTCCTTCTTACTTCTTTACAGAAGCCTCTGGATTGTTTATAAGAGCTGACAACACTGAGTATTATTCCTGAAAATCAAAACTTTAATTAAAGTTCTCCTTGTATCCCAGAACAGTCCCAGTTCTCTAGGTCTGATTTCTTTAGAGTCTTCATGCTTTCCTTCTTGCCATAAATAGAGACTAGAGGTGAGAATGGTCTGTGAACAAGGTGTTAGATATGCTGTAGAAGGCTGTTACTTTTCCTGGATCTTAAGAAATGACTACATGAGCTATTCAAATTTAAATTATGGGACTGGGCGGGATCAAGGAAAAAGTTTTGGTATATGGTATCAGATGTGTATTTATTAAACATCTATTGTATTTGAGACACAGCAGATATGATTATCTGGATAAATGGAATTAGAAAGTTTTATAAATACAGAGTAAATTTCGTATATGTCACTAGTAGATGGTAGGAATTTGAATTTGAGCCTTTTTATAAAGCCTACGTGTTATTTTAGTACTGGGAGTTCTATGAACATACTCTTTATTACCTATTCAGAAAGCCTGATAAACTGCCTGAAGTCTTTGTTTTGTTTTTCACGGCACTGATAATCAAACCAAGGACTTTATACATGCTAGCAAGTGCTCTCCCATTGAGCTATACCCCTAACCCCCTTGGGTATATTTTTTTTAGGCTAAGAACACTTTCTAAAACAAAAGTTATTTTTTGTCATTTGCCTGGTATGGCCATTTTAGATAACTAAAATTTTATTTGGAAAGGATCTAGTTACTGATTAAACTATGAAAGAAATACTGTTTACCTGTTTTTTTTTTTTTTTTGTGGTATTGGGGCTTGAACTCAGGGCCTTCATCTTGAGCCACTCCACCAGACCTATTTTTGTGAAGAGTTTTTTGAGATAGGGTCTCGAGGAACAGTTTGCCCAGGCTGGCTCTGAACCACAATCTTCCTGATCTCTGCCTCCTGAGTAGCTAGGAGTACCTTTTCTGAAATAGGATTTTTATAAGTATTTTTATGGCATAGGAACTTACAATAAAACACCTACCCAGACTTATTTTGGTAGATCTCTATGACTTTTCTTTTCTTCTGGTACTGGAGCTTGAATTCAGGGCCTACACCTTAAGCTACTCCACTAGTCCTTTTTTGTGAAGGGTGTTTTGAGAAAGGGTCTCACGGAACTATTTTGCCCGGGCTGGCTTCGAACTGAGATCCTCTTGATCTCTGCCTCCTGAATAGCTGGGATTACAGGCATGAGTGACCTGTGCCCTGCTCTATGACATTTCTTTCATCTTTGTAGCAAGTTCTACTAAGTGATCTCAAGCTTATTATTAGAAACTGAGTAGCCTTATCCTAAAACACCTATGTAAAATTATGATGCTTAACGTGCTTTATGGATTGTTAACATTTTCTAAAGTTTAGTTTCCCTTTTTGTGAATTTTGTGTCAGTGACAATTAAAATGGGATATTTAATTTTATTTCAATGACTTGATCAGAATGGGGTATTTATTACAAATCTTTCTTTCTTTAAAGGCACTAGGATTTGAACTCAAGGTTCATACAAAATATTTGTAATAATACATTGGTATTTACTTAATATAAATAATAATATCCCTTTTATGTTGAAATTAAAATGTATTTTTTGCCTAGTAGGCTTAATCAGCAGTGCATAATTTAAGCTTTTGTACAGAGCCCTGATAGACCCAGGTATTTGTACAGCTTTAGTCCATGAATTTGTTTAAGAAGTAGCAGTGGTACTTTGTTTTCCCAAAGCCAGGACAATACTGGCTCTGAAGCACAAAGCTCTTTGATATGTGTGTGTGTGTGTGTGTGTATCCCAATAATCAGACTGGAACTTTTAAAACAAGTTCCCTTCTCCCCACTAAACTCTCCTAGCTTGGGCTTAGGCCTCAGGTTCCTTTCTAATATTTGGGAATACCAAAAGCTTCTCTTTCCCTTTGTAGAAATGAGATTTGAGAATCACATTCAAAAGGGTCCACCTTAGCCTATAGGTATTTAAGTCATAAGGCACTGTGAATCATTCCGTCATGTTAGAACCTGCATTTCTGAATGTTGCCCAACCTAGTTCCTAAACCAGAGTGAGCACTCAGTAAATATCTGGGAATGGTTGAAGGCAGTGCCTCAGGATTTAAGGACAGCCCTTCATCTAAGAAAGCCTTGTCCTTTCTGAACAATTCTCTCCTTTTGCAGTGACTGGAATGAAAGACAAGATCTAATCTTAATCAGTGTAGCTGAGTACGGAAGGAAAGGTGACACTTCAGGCTGACAGCTATTGAAGTTGTTGTCTAAAACTTGATGTTACATTAGGAAGCAAACATACAGTCAATGCATTTATTAGTGTACCAGTGATATGGTGGTGTACCAGATGTTTTATTTCAGTGCCTGGTTCCTTCCCTCCTTCTACCTCCTTCTTTTTCCAGAAATATGTGTTATGTGTTTGCTTCAGACAGTGCTGACTATTGTTTATTGAAAAATTGGATGTAAGTAACACTAGACCACATAAAGATAAATAAGACCTAATCCTCCCTACCTTGTCAGAATAAGGTTCACTTTCTTCAAGTTAAAAATTCCAATTGGCACAGTGAAGTAGAATGGGAAAATAAGAAATTTTTTTTTGAGGGGGTGGTACTGGGGTTTGAATTCAGGGCCTCACCAAGAAGAAGGTTTTAAGAGTCAAAATGGGGGCTGGGGGCATGGCTCAAGTGGTAGAGCACCCGCCTAACAAGCACAAGGCCCTGAGTTCAAACTTCAGTACCACCACCACAAAAAAAAAGTCAGAATAGTTTTCAAGATGACAAGGCCAGACAGACTTGGACGCCAGATCTCATTGTCCTCTTTAGTGCCTTTTCAACCTCTTCCCATGTCCAAACCCCTCAAAAAAATTAGATTTTCCCCTACTCCCCCCCAAAAAAAGTGAGGCCGGGCTCTGGTGATTCTGGCCTGTAATTATAGCTTCTCAGGAGGCAGAGATCAGGAAGATTGTGGTTCTAGGCCAGCCTCGGCAAATTGTTCCTTGACACCCTATCTTGAAAAAAACCATCAAAAAAAAAAAAAAAAAAAAAAAGGGCTGCAGAGTGGTTAAAAAAAAAAAGAGTGAGAATGGCTAGAATTTTTGCTTGCTGCCTATCAGGTATATGACCTTGGGCAAATTATTTCCCTTAATCTCTAAAATGGGAAAAATTACTAGGTATTTTAAGGGAGATTGTGGGGCTTAAATGAGAATATAGACAAAGAACTTCATGAAAACCAAAAGCAATCTAGCACCAGAAGAGATTTCCTCCCTCCCTCCCTCCCTTCCTTCCTTCCTTCTTCCTTCCCTCTGCCTCTAGTAGGTGCTGAAGTTTTTGTCTAATTGTTCTCAATTAGTACCTCTCTAGATGTCCTTGACGATCTAAATATTTAAACTGGGTAGGTGTGGTGGCACACATCTGCAATCTCAGCACTTGGAATTACAATGCTGAGGCAGAATTGAGAGTTTGAGACAGCCTGGGCTATACAGTGAGACGCTGTCTACCAAATCAAATTTAAAAAAATTAAATATTTAAATGAAATGATTCTGGTTGCTGTAAGTTATTACTATTGTTTACCAACCTCTCACCCCATTTCTCACTTTTTTGGGGGTGTGTGTGTGACCAGCTCGCTCTGGCCTTTAACTTTTGTGGGGACAAGATTCTTAGAGGTTTATGTCACTGTATTCTTCCATACTCCCTGAATGTTTAATTCGCCTCTGTTGAGCATCACGTATATTTAAGCACTACTGCACCTATGGGATAGGAATAAGGCGCTTACAATCAAAACAAAAAGGGTGAGCATGTTAAAGTCACTGGAAATGGATTCAAAGCAGAACAGCTTCACAAAATGAAAATGGCATTTTCAGGGAAGAAGGAGGCGGATGGAAAAGCAGAGAAGTGGGAGGGGGTAAGATATTTCGGTAGGTTTTATTAATCACCGGGAGAAATACCGAGTCAATCCTAATGCCCAAGCGACTTCTCCATTTGGAAGCGACAACTCGCCCGCGCCATTTGAGGACACATGGTTACTCGCCAGCGGTGGGTCTGCGTCGTCGCTATCCGTTTACGCAGTTACCACGCATGCCCTTCTCTGAATCCAGTTCTCCAGATACCCTACTGCAGCCTGGTCCTCCGGGCCGGCCCCGCCCCGCCCCAGCTTCGGCCCCGCCCCGCCCCAGCTTCGGCCCCGCCCCGCCCCAGCTTCGGCCCCGCCCCGCCGACTCTCCCTTCTGCTCAGGCACCTGCCTAGCCGCCCCGCCCGGCGGGGTCCTGTGTCTCGGGGAAGCGCAGCGATTGGCTGCAGCTGGTGGCTGGAGCTCGGCTCCAGCGGCACTTGACAACCGTAGTCTGCCACAAGGCTGAGCCGAGCAGTGCGGGCCCGGGAGGAGCGGACGCGAGAAGGACGGGCTGACGAACTGATAGATTGACGCGCGGACGACTGGAAGGAGGACCGACGTCAACCTCACACTCCCGCCCTCGCGCTCCCGCCTCAGCCCGGAGCCGGCCGCCGGCCTCGAAACCGCGTTCTCCTCCGCCAGGCTAGGAGCCTTCAGGTGAGTGACTCTGGGTGGCGGGGGCGGGCCGCTGCACACCTCGGGTTGCCATGGTCACCCGTCGCCACCTGTCATCACCTGACAAGGCTTGGACCTCGCTGGACCCGAGAGAAGGGTCTTGGGTAGGCTTGTGTGGTGACTGAGAGGAGATGGGTCATGGGTGAGGCCCTCCTTTGAGGCCGCCGCTCGTGGACCACACCTTTCCTTCTGCCAGCGGGATCCGAGGGGCAGAGTGATGCCCCCCGCCGTGGCACTGAGCAGCGAGCCAGCGCCAGATCGGTGCCCACCTCGCCGCCGCTGCCGAGGGGCGGGAGCGGGGCTGGCTGCGTTGCAGCTTCTTTCCGCGCCGCTTTGCCGAGCCCTTGCGAAAATCGGGTTGTGTCCGCGTCCCTTTCTGGGCGCGCCGTGCCGGGGAGGAGGGGAGGGAGCTGGGGGCCGGGCGGCGGCTTGGGGCGGTCCCGCGGGGCCGGGTTTGTCCTTCCTGACGTCAGTGGTCAATGGGAGCAGCCTTTGGGGGTCGGGGAGGGGTGGGGAGAGAGCCAGCGACTGGGCTTGGAACGCGATTTGTGCGAGGGGCGCCTGGGTTAAAGCCACTTCTCTATGTTGGGGAGAAAAAGATCGGGTCTCCAGCTCTGGGGCGAGGCCTTTGGCAAAGGGACGGGAACCAGGGTGGACAGGGGTCGCGTCTGGCCAGATGATTTTTTTTTTTTTCTCTTTTTCTACACCTAGACGTGCAGTTAGTAACTGCGAATAGCATCGAAAGGGAGCATTTTTTGGCAACTTGGTTCTCTCTGCATAATGAAAGGAGAAGTCTTTGTTCCACCCAGATTCATAGGTTGTGATCTTAGCACTTATTTTCCTCCCTTTGTTGCAGAGTTCATAGAATGCTTCAAAAAGTTAATGCCATGGAAATTAACACGTAGATTTTAAAATGCTGTAAATAATTTTTAACAGTAAGTCAAAGTAGATTTAATTAATTTATTTATTTTTGTCTCCAGTGCTGGCATGTGTTGCATTGACATTTTGCTAGAAAGGAGAAACGCCTCAGAGCCCATTTTCCTTTATATGGCACATTCTCGAGGTCTCATGTATAAGGGAGATGTAATGAATTATTGCATCTTAGGTTTTCTGAGAGTGTAGATTGCTTCCAACAGGAAAGAAAATATGAATGGGAAAGACAAGTAAGCCAGAACAGTATATTATAAGATAAAAAGACTAAAAAACAACTCTTGAATTTGGGTGCCATTCTTGTTACTAATATTATTGGTGAGGAGATTTTAGCTTGTTTACCTCCCACTTTCTCACTTCCTAGTTCTTTTCTCTTCTGTTATAAAAACCAGAATAAGGAATGTATCTTAAGAGAATAGGGGTTAAAATTAACATATGTTCCTCGTTACATAACTGTTCAGTTTTCTTTTTATGAAATTGAGTTTATTAATTACTTACTGAATGGACACCATGCATACCTGCAGTTTGAAAAACACTTCAAAATAAATATGAAAAATGTGCGGTTTTCCTTAGTAGAACATTAAGCTGGAAATCAGATTGCCTGGATTTAACCTTCTCTTTGCTACTGATTACAATCTTGGAAGAGCTACTTACCCTACCACTGATTCCGTAAAATGGGCATATTGCCTGCTGTTGTTTTAGTCTGGGAATGGGCTGTGAAGTTGAATAAAATAATGCATTTGGAAGCACTTCCGAAAACAAAAGTACTGATTATGTTTTCATAATTAAAAATTAGAGGATAATTAAAAATTTCTTCTGTTTCTGTTTTTGGTGGTACTGGGGTTTGAATTCAGGCCTTCACACTTGCTAGGCAGGTGCTCTACCACTTGAGACATTCCCCCAGCCCTAAAACTTTCTGTATCATATATTTAACATTTCTAGGTCCAGGACCTTATTTCTTTTTTTTTAAATTATTTATTTATTCACATGTGCATACATTGTTTGGGTAATTTCTCCCCCATACCCCCCTCTCTCACCCTCTCCCCCTTTCCCCTCCTCACTTCCAGGCAGAACCTCTTCTGCCCTTATCTCTAATTTTGTTGAAGAAAAGACATGAGTGTAATAAGGAAGACAAAGCATTTTTGCTACTTGGATAGCTATACAGAAATATTCCTAGAATTGCTTTCGTGTACACATGTGTTACAACCCATGTTGATTCATCTCTAACTGATCTTTACACTGGTTCCTGATCCCCTTCTCATGTTAAACTCTGTGGCTTTAAGGTTTCTGTATTAGTTCCTCTGGAGTAGGGACATCAAACACTTTCATGTTTTGGGTTTTCTACCTATTCGTATATCTCCCGTATGTGTTCTCCCCTTGTCATGTGATCCAAGTCCAACCACATTGCTGCATTTGCCCTTGATCTAAAGTCCAAATATGCGGGAGAACGTACAATTTTTGGTCTTCTGAGCCTGGCTGACTTTGCTCAGAATGATGTTGTCCAATTCCATCCATTTACCTGCAAATGATAAGATTTCATTATTCTTCATGGCTGAGTAAAATTCCATTGTGTATAAATACCACATTTTCTTGATCCATTCATCAGTAGTGGGGCATCTTGGTTGTTTCCATAACTTGGCTATTGTGAATAGCGCTGCAATAAACATGGGTGTGTAGGTGCCTCTGGAGTAACCTGTGTCGAATTCCTTTGGGTATATCCCCAGGAGTGGATTGCTGGAACATATGGCAGGTCTACGTTTAGATTTTTAAGAAGCCTCCAAATGTTTTTCCAGAGTGGTTGCACCAGCTTGTATTCCCACCAGCAGTGTCCCAGGGTTCCTTTTTCCCCACATCCTTGCCAACACATGTTGGTGGTGTTTTTGATGATGGCTATTCTAACAGGGGTGAGGTGGAATCTTAGTGTGGTTTTGATTTGCATTTCATTTATGGCTAGAGATGGTGAGCATTTTTTCATGTGTTTTTTGGCCATCTGAATTTCTTCTTTTGAGAAACTTCTGTTTAGTTCACTTGCCCATTTCTTTATTGGTTCATTAATTTTGGGAGAATTTAGTTTTTTAAGTTCCCTATATATTCTGGTTATCAGTCCTTTGTCTGATGTATAGCTGACAAATATTTTCTCCCACTCTGTGGGTGGTCTCTTCAGTTTAGAGATAATTTCTTTTGTTGTGCAGAAGCTTTTTAATTTTATGAAGTCCCATTTGTCCATCCAGGACCTTATTTCTTACAGTGGTGTTAAAAGCCTCATGGGAACTGTTGTGGTATATTCCCACTTTTTGGCAGGGGTTCTTTATTACAGTGGTGATGAAGAGAAAGGGTGTTTCTTTCCTCTATTTGAGTTAGTATTGTATTCTTGCAAGTAAGCCTATGGCCAATAACTGGCTTGAGTTATATTTGGTGCTAAATAATTATCAGCTCTTGACTAATGGAGAGATAGCTTACTTTATCCCTTTTGATGTATGGTTTTCAGGTTGGAGTATTGTACATTATAAATACACTGCAGCATGCCAAGAGATAAACCTGTGGTCACATAACATGGTACACATTTATGGAGCTGTCGTCAATTTCACTTGAGGACTTGGGTAGAAAAATACTATTTTCATATTATTCATTTCAGATATAGAGAAGGTAGTATTCATATTAATTCCAAGGTAAAATTAAGAGACTTCAAAAGAAATGTCATGCAAAGAGCTCTCTGGGGCTGTAGTTAGTTCCTTCTGTCCTTAAGCAGAAAAGTTTACAAAGGGGGAGAAGGTTGGGGTGATCTAACCAATATACAATGTAAGCTATTTGGAATTATCACAATAAATCCCTCTTGTACAACGAATCTATCCTGATAACAATAATAATAGTAGAAAAGTTTAAGAAGTCTTGCTTTAGACTTACTCAGTTAATGAACAATAGATTGTTACATAGCACAGGGAATAAGTGGAATTCAAATGTTTAAAACTTTGATATTAGGCACATTACTTGAGTCTTAATTTTATTCCTGTAAAAGAATGTTGAAGTGGAAAAGTCATAGTATTTTAGTCAGGTAGATTTGGTCATCCTGTTCTCGGCTGGACAACTTAATTGCTCTGGAGGTAAATATGTAACATCTCTGCGTGTTGGTGTCATCATTTGTAAAATGGCTGGCAGAGGGTCATAAGAATTACTCAGATAAAGTATAGAAGTATACATCTAACACCTAATAGTAGATGTTACAATAAATGTTAGTACTTTTTTCCTTCTTATCTTCGCATATTAAGATATTTATAATCATTTAAGCGTATTCTTAGCAGAAAGCCTTATCGGCACCAGAACTTCCATGACATTTTATTTATAATTCCTTTTTGGTATGCTGTACTTTATATTTTATGTATATTATTTTCATACATAGTCTGGAACCTAGGTCTTCAGACTTCAAATCCAGTGCTGCCCCCTTGCAGATATATCAGTTTTTCCTACTGGGTAGTGGAGTTTTGACTCAAGGCCTCATAGGTTTTTTTTGTGTGTGTGTGTATGGTGCTGGGATTTGAACTAAGGTTCTACACCTTGGGCCACTCCACCAGCCCTTTTTTGTAAAGAGTTTTTTCTGAGATAGGGGCTCATGAACTATTTGCCTGTCTTCGAACCATGATCCTCCTGATCTCTGCCTCCTGAGTAGCTAGGATTACAGGTGTGAGCCATGGTGCACAGCTCCCTCACTCTCTTTTAAAGCAGCACCTGGTTTAAACATAATTTGTTTCTTTAGGCTAAAAAAGTCATTCACAGTTTCAGAAGGTAACTTAAAAATAACTGATGAATAGAGAACAGCTGTCAGAGGTAAGAAGGCTCACCTGCTGCATCCCTGTTACAAAAAAGTAGGTGATTAGCAGACACCATGGAGCTTTGCAGTTAGAAGGGACTTTGTTTTGTATGTTTAAATGGTCAAAAGCACATCTGTTTTCTTTATTGCTGTTCAACTGACCTTTTAAACTTGAGATTTCTGATCATCCTAAACTTGATATTTGCCTTCCCACTAGGATATATACTTCCTATTTTTAAAATCTGAG